TTCTGCGAGGTTTCAAAGGCAGTGGCTTATAAGATGTTCTGTGTACCGTTAACTGCTCCATTGGCGGGGAACGAGACATGTTGTTTAGTTATTGTATAACATAGTTTTGCGGTCGTCATGGCCACGCCAAAGGAATCGAAAATAAAAAATATTTTATTTAATAAACGCGACCTTGTCGTTTGCTACGATACGGGTTTGGAAGCAATGTGAATCGTCAGAGCAGCTTTTTCAATTAGAAATCAAAATATTTGTTGATATTTTTAAAAATGTAGTCAGGCTGAGATGGCTTGGATCTCGGCACAGGGGTTGGCGCCACTGCGAATCGTAGATATTAATCCTTTACCGGATGTGTTAAGTATTCGGGACATTATAGTAAAACGGTATTAAATGCGTCTGGAGTGGATATAGAGCGTTGACAAATGCCATCACCTAGTGAGAAGATTCAGTGACGAAGCCTCCGTGTCTCCGGACAAGTCATTCTCTCCTCGCACGTGGTCATCGCTAAGACGGTGTCGGCTAAGTAATAGCCTGCTGTCGACGGGAAGTGCTACAGTTGTCTGGTTACTGTCGCCGGCTATACAAATGATGCGTTTTAAGTGTGACGGCCAATACTCGCTTGCAGCGCGCACTATACCGGAACCAGACGGTCGAAAAACGTTTATATTTTTTTTTCCTTCCCCGAACAACATGTGCGCCCCGGACCTTTTAGCGTTGACAACCGGCCGCTATTATTTATTGTCTCGTTTTTGGGGAGTCCGATTGCTTCTCAGACAAACCGGTGTGTTTTCGCGCTCTGTAAAAAGGTACGGTTTGTGTATTTGTGTTTTCGCAGCTCCAAACACGTCTAAACATTTGGTCGAATCCGTATATTATAACATAGGGTCTATGGAATAACACTGCGGTGCGATACAAGAACCAACGCCCCCCGCTAGTTGGTACCAAGCAAGTGACTTGTATAGATGACGCCGGGATATTACAGACACCTGCAGTTTCTCCGTCAAAGAATGTTAGTTTAGCGTGAATATGAACTTTTGCTATATTATGTGATGTTTATTATATTATATCCAGCTGTAGATCGATAGATTTACAGTCATAGAAAACCCAGTTATATGCATGTAAGAATGTTGGCAAAATTATGTATATTTACTGCTTACGTCGATGAACAATTACATTTTAAAACTCCATGTAGTATGCCAGAGGTCCTGTGAAATTATTTATTGTTTGAGTCGAGCGTCGAGTCATTAAGTATTTATGTTTTGTCGGTGATTTACGTGAGTCATTTCGTTTTGGCGTTTGTCACAAGTGATAATTATATTACTATATCATTGCGCGCGCTTTTGCCATGATAAATTGACGATGTTGAGACCAGAAAATCGTGGTGCTTAACTATTAGGCTATAAACTAATAAAATATGCGGTTAAATTTTCACTTAACTTTGTCGGGCTAAGATTTATTAATTCGAGTTAATTAAAATAAAATAAAATTGTTTTGTTCCTTCTCTTGTGCTTTATATCGTGTTTCAATTTAAACTATATAATTAAATGCCTACAGTAATTGGATAATTGTTAAGTTCAACCAGAGACCGAAAATAGATTTTTTATAATAACGTTCACTAAAACTAAAAAATGGCTCACCGAGTTAGAATTAACAACTTAAAATTATTACTACTGCATTATGGCTACGTTTATTTAAAACATTTACTATATGGTCGTATTTTACACATGTGCAACGTGCAATGCATAAAATATACCAATGTTTTTAAAATTGTATTTTATATTTAAACTTCAACTAAAAGGATCTGTTTAAATGTAAAATACCTTAAAGAATAATACCGCAAGATGAGCTTTTTTTTTTAGCTCGTTTTTTCTAAAAAATGTAATGCCCCCCCCCCCCTACCCCGACGCCAACTTGATCTCTTGATATGAATCACACTGATATTGGGGGAAAATTCTGGAACAATTTATAATATTAATATTGCCTTTCCAGTACTATTTTAAAAATATTTGCTTCGAGTAAATCGTCAGGTGGATTCACCTAGGTAATATACCTTCAATAATTAATGTCTGATGTCAACAAACAGTAAAAATTAAAACTACTAGTAAGTGACTTGGCTACTTTCTATAAAGTACTTTTTTTAATGTTAAATAAAATTCAAAATATTTATCTTGTATGCACTTTACTAAAATATATTAAATACGGATGAATGGTGTACTAATGCATAAAGGACAAACAGGCAAACATGCATTTATTTTTATGTATATAGATAAATATTTATAAATTTAATTTGACGTAATATGATGTCCTTTTTACAATTACAAGCGGTCCATATTACCTTTACCACTCCGCCTGATAACTTGAGTAGGCAAACCAGTTTCACGTTGGTTTTCATATCACCAACTCAATTAAGATGAATGGCTTTACGCTTTTAGTATTATAATATAAAGTGAGATCAAAATATCGGTATGCAATTCTTGGCGTGCTAGTTCGTTGAATGAATTAAGTACTGTAGTGGAAATAAAATCAAAAGGAGCATAATAATATATAAAGAATAAAATATCCAAGTTCCGAGATAAATGGAACGAGTTTTTTCAAATAGCTGCAACTCTCTATTTTTAATACTTTTTGAATTCTTAGTTGTGTTCATACACGCTACAAATTATACCTAATGCAATGTGTCTATAGATGGCAGTGTACCCTTTATATGATGTAGTGTCCGGATACAAACCGTAAGTAGCTTAGTATAATGTATACTCATATTATATGCAATGCAATGGCCAGTATGTACAAATATAATATACAAATGAAAGGGGTTAGTACAGGTGTAAATTTAACAAAATAATTATCAAATCGACCTATAGGTATAATAAATAATACCGTCTTCAGTCGCACTGCCCGTCACGAACGTGTGCAGCTGAAACGCGTTTGAGTAGCTATAAACCTAAAATATTCTTTTTTATGTTTTTTGTGGCTAATAGCCTACAAATTAGTGCACAGCATGCAAGATTAATTAGTACTGTGGCCGATTACCGCAGTATAAAATTATGATTAACTATTTCATAATATTACTACTCGGCTATAGTTAATAATAGTGAGAAGTAGTAAAACAATAATATGATATTTGAAATTAGATGTATTAATGATAATTAGTGTGTGCCCAATAATGGTCAATTGAAAAAGTACTTATAATATATTATGTTCACAGACTGCGTTACACTGGGCGGCCAAACACGGCAACATGGACTTGGTGAAAATGTTGGCAGGAACTTACAACGCCAATGTGAACGTTAGGACGGTAAGTTACTGTCATATTTGTAGTCCCTACAGTAACCGTAGCTGGGTGAACTATTGATAAAGAGTAGTTTTCGCAGCAGAGTTGAACGTTACTGGAATAATTTGTAATCTGTGTAAAAACTACCAAATTGGATTTGTTTCAATTTTTTTTTATTATCATCTTATTCGTTTTATTCCAATCAAACGGGGTCAGCTATCTAAACTCGGTATAGTTGGACACATCTTGTTCACAAGTGTAAGGGAAAATTATATTTTATCCGGAAAAGTACCTACATAATTATGTACCGACAATGGGCGAATGTATTGAAATTTAAAAAAAAAACCTTAATTTACTATGCTCTACTTACGACAGCGGTAACCAGAACAAAACGATCTCGTATTCTATCTAGAAGTAAGGTCGGATGAAATATAATATTATTAATATTTTGATGAATAAATTTACCGCATTTGCGAATCGTCCGGTTTCTTCTGCGGTGGCTAATAAACAGTGTCGCCTCAGGTGTATTATTGGTAGCAACGCTGTGTAATACATTCCAACGAAATAAACGCCTGCCCTGCTATGCATGCAATCGAGATTAAATTCGATTAATACTTTATACATTATTCATTATAATATTATTACCGCACGGGATCGGGCTGGCGAGATAGGACATTTTTATACCGATGTACCGCGATAACTGAATCATTATTGTTATTATACATAATAACAATAATTAGGTGTACACTTACGGGGATTCGGTTCGATAATAATAATTATTATAACTATTATATTATGCGGTTACCGTACTCGAATTCAGCCTATTCCCTCGGCTACGGTGTGGTCATAAACGGTTTACATTAAAAAATCTGAGCAGTGAGCACCAGAAATGACGGTCTAGCGGCCCCGGGGTACTTATAATGGCTAGGTTAAGTATTTTTTCTTCGGAAATATCGATTCACCCTTTAGATAACACGCCAGCGTTGGATCGATTATTATTTCTGTAAAAAAAATCGACGACAACGGCGCTACCGTTAAAACGGCTGTCCATTTATCGCCTCCGAAAATGTAAAAAATACTTATATCTATGATATTTCATTGTTCTGTACGATTGAATAATTTCCTAAGACGTAGAAATAGACAATTTTTTATTATATTTTCCTTGTTGAATTTAGAATTTGTTAAAAAGGGTGTTCTGTACACAAAAGAAAATCGAGGGATTACAATTTGTGTTTTTTAATAAGTTTAGTACTTTATATGTGATTACTTTGGCAAATTTGGCCCGATTCGCATTCAGCATTATATAGTGCATCATTATTACTAATATAGGGAACTTTACTACCAGGTAACGTTTAGGTATAATATACATAATTGGTTAAGTTTTTTTTTTTAAATAGTTCTACATTTGAGATGTTGAAATAAGAAATTGAAAAAAATAATAATATCAGAACCCCTCTTTTTTTAATTTTCCTGTAGTTTTAGGTATTACTTTAGGCTCGTATACTGGATGATAATTTAAACCGTGAACACATTCAACACTATAATATAGTTAAATAATTAAGTGGTTTTTTTTATATTTCCCCCCCCCCCCACCCCATGTTTAATTTTTTTAATCGCATATACGTTACATTTTTATTGTTGTACTATTAATATTCTTTGCATTAATTTTTGTTTTTGTTTTTTTTTTTCATGGATCTTCACAACAACAAACGGAACGAATGCGACTACAGAATAGCGTAAGTGAAATTAATTTTCAATAGTGGCTCGGATCTTTCAACACGCTTGACAATATTAAAACACGGAATTTTGAAAAGTGTGACGAACAGCCGACAATATTATGATAATTGTCCAAAGGGGATTTTAACTTTAAAGCATTCGAACCCTTTTTTCATTTAAAACCGTTTTGTTTATTCCGTTCAACTGTTATTCGGACTGGGTCGACGACATCTGTTTCGAGTTTAATTGTCTGCCGGAAAACGTTTATGAAACGATTCAAACATCAAAAAGGGTGTGCGACAAATCGCACTCACTGACCCCGCCGTCGCCATGCTTATTATTTCCATAAAATATTATTGTGTTATTATTATTATAACCCCTTCCGCATTGACACTTCGGTTGCGCGATGTGGGGGCAAATATGATTTCAGACGCAGTGCGTTTATACTTCCATATACAACAGCGAACGGATGATACTTTTGTCACCCCATTTTCAATTGAATTCCTAATGCAATATCCGCATACGCCGAGAGTCCTCGAAAGGGTGGCTTAATAAAAAAAAACACAAAGGACCTATAAGAAAACACTATTGACGTTACTTTAATATAAAAACTATATAATATAATATATTAGAGAGACGTGATTGAAAAAATATGAAAATTTAAGAAATTTAAAAAAAAAATGAATTTTTATACATCATTTATCGAATTGGACGTTTAATTTTAAGTCGATAATAAGAGTTTTAAGATCCGTGAAAAATGTTTTATAGTAGTATAGATGAATTTAATATATTACTATAAATAAGCGATTTATATACTTACCAATAATAGAACAGACACACAAACTGTGTGGAATTTTTGTCGCTGAATCCAAATTTCACGTATTTTTTCTTAAATTTGTAGTATCTAAAAATCCAAAATTCTTTTAAGACTTCAAAGAATCATTTAGTAAATCATACATTATTTTTTCTATTTTTAATACTATACCTTATATATTTTTAATTCTACACAGTACATAGTCAAAAACAGAATTTTCTCATTTTTATTTTACGTTTAAAGAAAGGTAAAAAGAAGAATAAATATTTAAGTCGGTTATTAACAACATTTGTGAGTGTTATAGACAAAACTTTTACAATATTTTACCCTTAAACTGTTGTCAAGTATATTTTTGTAATTTGTGAGCTTTTCGACAGCTAGCCGATCTATTAATTTTGGATTTGACATACCTTTTTTTTTTTTTCTAGGGTCATACGCCTTGTCACGTCGCTATGCAGTTTGGTCACGAGGAGGTGTTTAAAATACTAGTGGAGATTTATGGTAAACCGACGATTTCTTTGAATACATTTTTTTTAAATCTGGGTAGTTATAAGTTGTTTTACATTTCCCGATAACTTTAAACATACGGACTACATTTTAGTACAACAATGTTACCTTCTGTGAAACGTTAATATTTATCACAAACCGGTGGTCGTAATTGTGTACCTCACTATTTTAATTATCACTTATTATAATTGAGTAAAAATTCGATTTTTTAAAGAAAAAATAGTTTTTGACATTAAATAAAAAAAAATAATAATAATAATACATTTCATTTGTCATAACATACCTATTTTTTTACCGTGATAAAGAATGATAAAAAAAAAGTGATATTAATATATTTTATTAGTTATTACACTGCGTAAAATTTCAGAATGAGCTCTTGAGTAAAATATTTTTGATGAAAATGTAAAAACAAAATACAACACCAAAAAGATAAATTGCTTTTTGGTTTTCGAATCCAAAAGCAATTTATTGCCAAAGTTGAGTGCTTTTTTTTTAATTTTCACCAAAACACTTTACTTATAAGTACCTACACAGCCTTATATTGTTATAATATTTATAAAATTTCTTAGTGCTTTTTTGAAAAATCCAAATTTTTTAATTCTCATCGATAACTTAAAGTGCTATTGCTATTACCACTGAGTCTGTAGGTTAACAAAATATTTGTGTTAATACTTAATTTGCTTAAAAACTTTTAACTTAAAAAAGTAAATTTTTAAAAATTTTAACTTATTAGTTTTTTTTTAGAAAAGTATTATTGCCCAGCTTTGTCAATGTTATGTATGTATTGTTTATAACTGAATTTAATTGTTTAATTGTCAAATTCAGGAGCCGATCCGAACATGAGGGACTGGAGCGGACGGAAGCCTCGTCAGTACCTCATGAACAAGGACACGAGCCTATCGGCGGACACTTACCGCAGTGAGTATGCCCGTGAAAAGCCCAAGCTCATCCTGTTCAACTCCCTGCCTAGACCAAAGCGGCGCATTAAAAACATCAACGTCCTATCGTCCTTGTCGTTCTCGCATGTAGTCACCCCGCCGAAATGCATGAAAAACAAACATTCTAAACCACACCAATCCTTGTATCACTACCATCTCTATTAATATAATGTATTTCAACCCTTGCACAGCTGCCTATACACCCACTTTATGCATTCAGTCATTATTCATTGTCTTATTAACCCATACAACATAATATTTGTGTAACATATTCTATTGTATTATTGGACTCGCTCTTTAATAGTTGTTTGTTTTTGTTAATTTTGTTGTTTTTATTATTATTATATATATATATATATATATATATATAATTTATATTTTAGTTATTTAATATCTTATTGCAACTTAGTTCATTTTTGCTAATTTATTATTTTACCATTGACGTTGGTCAGGTTCAGTAGTTATATAAAATAGATTAAAATACCATTAACCATTTATATAAAATATACAACACCAATTATTTTAAGAATTATTTACAAGTAGAAAGCCTTCGGCGTATTCGAAATATCTATTAAATATAACTTTATTATTATACCAATTTGAAATATACTTGTTAAATTTTTAAATAGAGTTGGCAAAAACCTTCTAGTTTTTTTTATTTTTGCTTAAGCCCAGCAAATGTTTGTTATCTACAATGTGCAACTGGGCATGGGTGTATTTAGCACTCTAATTTTTGAAATGACTACCCCTACAATTGTTTTTGTTTTATACCTTACGTTGTAAGGAGTAGGGATTGTACAATATTCCCAATGCTTAAGCACCTTCACATATTGTTAGTGAAATTTCGCCGGGTATGTAACCAAAAATATTGATTATATTGGGTTTATGCATACCCAAAATAATACAAATTTATTTTTAATATAATTAGAATTATTGTCAACTCTTTTTTAAATCAAAGCAAATTTAATTAACAGTAAAGTGATTTAAATTTATTTGAATAGTTAAATTATAACAAACAACCTTCCTATATTGATTTGTTATTTAATACCTTTCAAAAGTATCAAGTCCAGTGTTATTTCAATTTATAAAAATATGTGTCTGTTAAACATTTTATTTCAATGATTATACATTGAACTTCTTGTTTGTGTTTTATTGAGATTACTTTTACTGTTTCTTTTATGAAGGTATATATTTTTTTTAATAGAAAACACTTAGCACTTAGTTACTGATTTAATATATAAATATTTTACGTCTTGGAATATCAACATTTTAAATTATTTTTTAACTTTTTAATTCAACATTTTCAAAGCCACCAAGAAGAAATGTACTTACCAATATTTCATTTTTCCAGTAAATAATTTACTGATACTTTATCCAATTTTTTTATTTTGCATGGTAGAGCGCTAAGTAGTTGCCATACAGCTTATGTATTTAGTTTTAAATTTTACCATATAATTACCATCTTGTGTATAATTTAGTGTTACTCAGTTGTGTTTTAAATAGTAAATCATTATATATTGTATCAAGTTTGTTAAAAAAAAAAAAATGTAATTTTATCCATGTTGATCATTAATCGTATTCTTTGTACTAATACAATAATATTTATTTCCACTATAACACAATATATGATGTATATAAAAATAATATAATCTTTCGTAAAACATTTAAACTTGCTGTTGTTTGCTTATAGGATTACTATTGGCGGAGGAAAGGCAAGTAAACATATAAGTTTAATTGGTTTTGGGTGGTTTTTTCTGTGTATATTGCTTATTGTTGATATAATAATTTAATATGTAGTTTGCATGATAAACAGTGAATATAATAGTAGCCACTGTGGTGTTGGATACTTACGTACTTCTTATGTGTGTAGCCTGTAAGTGCTCGATCATTACAAAAGTATACCTAATGTTATGACTACGTGATAACCGTAGAAGATCACTAAAATCACTATTGTATGCATGATATATAATTGCTGTAAAGTAGTTTCATTTTAGAAGTAAATAAATATTGCCTATCATCATTGTCATTTAACATATATATGTATATTGTATTCTTGTAATAATAATAATAATAATAATCATAGACAATTGAATACAAATGTTATGCACTAGATAGGTTTTTAATACTTCAGTGTTTGTTTGTTTGCAGAACTAAACGCCCGAAAACACAAAAACGCAGGTAAGTGTGTGTGTGTGCACGCTTCAATAATATTGTATTCGTTTACAGTTTTTTAAACGCGACCGTTACAGTTTGCTGTTTATGATTTTTGTAACTTACTTAAGTTTTGCTTATAATTAACACTGTGTTTCTGCAGAAAAAGATCTAGGATTTTTGAGGATTGGATCCCTGAACGTACGCGTTAAACGCACCACAGAAGCATTCAGTCATTTCTTAGGCGTCGGAGGACAGAATGCGGAGAAAATCCATAAAACATGGGGTTCAGCCGACAACTTGCAGGTTAAATATTTTGTAGCTACCACTTGTGTTTACAATAATTATTGTATCCAATCGATACTCTTTTATTTTTTAATATATAATATAAGTTTGAAGAGGTGCCACACTACTTTTTGTACTCGTAAATCATGTCTCAGGAAGTGCTGCATATTGCTAAGGAAGTGAGCCGTATTTTAACTTTAACTTAAAATACATATCACTGGGATACAAAATGTATGAATGTAAATTATGTTATGAGCATTATTTTAATAAAAAATTTGATAATTTAAGAATGCTTGAAAATGTAATGTCTTATAACTCGGTTTATAATCATTTTTTTTTAAAAATCTTTCATGTCATAATTCAGATGAAATCTGTAATTTTATGTACGTGTAATTTAATTACTAATTTATTTGAAATACTTTTTTATAAATAATAAATAAAATTGATCATTTAGAAAAATATTCTGACCAACTAACTCTCATCATATCTTAGTAAAAAACAACAGTTTCCATATAAAAATATACGTCATAATAGACTACACCTATATTGTATGTATTGAAAAGTTAAAAGTATTTAAAAGTAAATTTTAATTTAAATGTATTCTGGTTGTACTGTTATTTAGAATGATGCAAAGAGAATGCCCCCTCCTAAAAGTGTTTCAATTAAAAAAAGAAAATCTAAGAAGCCGCAAGACTTTTTGAGAAGGGCTTCCGCTCCATCCGAAAGATCACCAGAAAAAAGAAAATCAGACACAACTGGTGATTCAGACTCAGATACGGCTTGTGGATTTGGCAACAACTGGCACCCATCATAAACTAAATATATAGTCTATTTCTAAAGTATACTTTCAATACGCTCGATATGGATCATTAATAATTTTTAAGTACATCATAGAGTTAATCGATCAAATATTATTTTTTTTTTTATAAATATCTTTTAATTTTTTTTATAAAATGTAATTATCTATTTTGTTATTTTATTTTATTAGTTAATATAATTATTACTTATTTTTTTATTTGTGGCTATTATTTGATTACCTATTGGTTTTAAATTAATTAGCTCCCAAGCAGCCTAAGTCAGTTTTTAAAAGTATTAATTCTTTTAAATAATAAACTCATGATAATACATTTCAATAGTAGGTATTCATTTACTAAACACTTGTGTAGAAAACAATTGTTATGGTTCACATGATTTGTAGTTTCATAAAATTCTATGCAAAATAAAAGTCCTTCCTAACACCACATTATTGTTTAATACCTATGCAATGCTAATTAATTACAAAATGAATTTACATTTTTTTTTTTAACAATGATTTATAATAATAATATATTGAATTTAATAAAGATTAAAATTTTATACCCTCAAAGAATGTTGGTTTAATACAAATAACAAGTGTTTATATTATTAAATAAATGTTATCTAAATACAATTAAAATAAATACGCATATATAAATATAGTTATTTGAAATAAGAGGAATGAAAATGAATTTAATCTATCATTAAACAGTACAATTTTAATTGATTTATCAATTATGCTTTATACTTTATCAATTTAGTTTTCTCAAACTGCAATAGTAAATAGTGATTTAATTCAAATGATCATTCCCCTAACAGTGTAATCAATACCATATGATATTTAATTTCCATTTAATCTTTTCTATTCAACTCGGTGACAACCTTTTAGAATATTTACACGTTAACATTATACTTAGTTCTTTTAGTGCGGTGTAGTTGTAAATTATTTACTCTCAAGTCTTTACATAATTATTAATGCTTAAATATACTCGAGTGTAACTTGTGTTTATCGTACGGATTATGAAGATAACTGTTGTGGTAAGATGTTTGACCAAATTCTACTTAAGGTAAGAAGGATTAGATATAATAAAACTCATGACTCATTGCACGAATGCCAATTTATTGACTATAAGTAAATAACACCTTATGCCTTAGAAAAAAAAAAAATGTTGGGAAGGAACACAAATAAATAAAGATGAAGTTTTAATTTAGGTCATATTTTTATGCTCAACTTTTTGAACATTTCTTCTACGAGTTGTTCTTTTTTTATTTCTTCTTCCTGTCGCGTAGCAACATTTCTTATTTTTACTATGCCTTTTTCGATTTCACTATCGCCAATAACGATGGCCCAGGGTATCTCGTTCTCTTCACAATGTTGTAATTGAGCAAGAAGCTTAGGATTTTTTTTATATGAATGTTCGGCTTCGATTCCGGCATTCCACAAATCTCTACAAATAGTCATTCTATGTTCGACTAAATTTTTTTGAGCTGCAGCAACGTATACTTGAACTTCTGTAGTGCGGACTTTCAGTTTTTCTTTGGCGAATTTAGCTTCGAGCACGGTGAACAACCTTTCTACACCAATAGATATGCCTACACATGGAATAGTTTTATTTTTAGGATGAAACATACCAACTAGGTTGTCGTAGCGGCCACCACCAGCTACACTGCCGATGGATTCGCCTTTTTCCAATAATGAAACTTCGTATATAATACCTGTATAATAGTCCAATCCTCTAGCCAGACTCAAATCAAATGATACAAGGTCTTCTATACCGAAATTTTTAATATATTGAAAAAACAATCTTAACGACTCTAAGCCTTGGGTAGCCATTTTAGATGTAGTGAGCAAATCGTCTTTAAAAAGGGCTTCCACTAATTCGGATGATCCGTTCATCCTCACATAGACTCCGATTCGGTCAGCAATATCTTCGGCCAATCCTTTTTCTTCAACCATCTCCTTCTTGACTTCTGCCCATGACATCTTATCTAATTTATCGACCGCTGAACACATTGCTCTAAACTTGTCTATCGGGACGCCACACGCTTCGAAAAGTCCATCGAGCAAAAGCCTGTGGTTGACTTTCACTATAAATTTGCCGGCGTCTAGCGACGACAATATTTCTGTGGCTACAAACACGCATTCGGCTTCCGGTATCATTTCATCGTACTGACCGGCTATATCGTAGTCGCACTGATAGAATTCCCTGTACCTTCCCCTCGTCATTGCCGGGTTGTCTCTTCGATACACTTTGGCGATTTGGTACCGTTTGATGTTGGTGATTTTGTTCATCGCCAGGTACCGAGCAAAAGGCACGGTCAAGTCGTATCGCAAAGACAAGGACTCGCCACCTTGGTCGGCAAGATCGTAAATGAGCTTCGAGTCCTCGCCGTACTTACCAGTGAGCACGTCTTTGAGCTCGAAAATCGGAGTGTCTATGTTGACTGCGCCGTGACGTTTGAACACCTTTGTAATCCGATTCAGCACGTCGTTGCGAACCGCTGTTTGTTCGGGACCGTAGTCTCGAGTGCCCTTTGGCGTTTTCAACTGGAATTTGTTCGGTTTTTCTTCGGGTTTAGCCATATCGAACCGATACGGAGACGTGTAAACGCAACAGGAGCTTTGCAATTTCCGCGAAAACCGTGAAACCCGTGTAAGCAGCACACGCATTGTTTTTTTACATCATGCATGATAGTGGATATTGCACACACGAGTTATTCCTCGAATTGTTGCACAATCCGTTGTACATGGCGACACTGCGTCGGCCAATTTCGTATCAACTTCCTAACCTCAAAATTATCAGCTGTTTTCCAAGTGATGAGATAATAGAAATATAACTTTAATATTTTCTACTCCCTTCATCCCTTATAACTTGTGGTTGTGACGTCTATATAATATTATATTATTGTTGTAATATTGTTATCAATTAATTTAATTCAATTTATATTTTAATCGAGTTTAGTTAATAAAGATTAATAAAGATAATTCAATTATAACATTTGTCATATATCAGTTAAGACAATAATTTTCGGATACGTCTGTTTCGTAGTATTCCTTCAAAAATGTCAAACAATTTTGTTTCCGTTTAATATTTTTAAAAAAATACCTACGTCAAATCCATCATGTCGACTAGAGTGTTACGTAAAATGGGTCTGCAGGAAGAAAGAGACCTGCCACCCGTCAAAGACGAAGCGAGCGATGACACCGAGACGAGTTCAGGTGGTGTAAACAAAAAAAGACACTTGAACATGTACGATTTGGTAAGAAAAATGTTAACTTTAGACAAGTAGATAGTATTTTATTTGTGTTTTCTATTTTTTTTTTCCAGCTGAATATCGGTTCAATGTCTGAATCTGAAGTAAAAGAGGATGATGATCATGAGACTACTGGCTCATTAAATAAAAAAGATGAGCATTTATCTTGTGACAAAGAGAATATCAGAAGAAAAAAAAAGAAAAAGAGGAAGAAGTCTGGTAAAGTATTGTCATCCCATACTCGCAGTAGTGAAGATAATGTCGATGTATGTCAATAATACATTTCAATTAAATGTTTTAAACTTAGAATATTACTTTACGAGTTGACTATTTCAGGATGAAGTAGAGAGAAGCGTACGAGAAGTAAATAAAATCTTAGGAGAAGTGCCTGATAAAGGAGAAGAAGATTATGATGATGCAACTTCATCTCAAAATCGGGAATGTATTTACTTCAAGAACATATTGTCTGTACAGCACCGAAACCTTAATCCCAACAATGAACTTCGTAAAATGTTTGGACGAGTTGTTCATCAGGCTGAACTTAGGTATAATAGAGAACTAAGTTTTTTTAGAAAACTTTTAACGTTATTTTACAAATTTACAGTTCCATAATGGTTGAATCACTTTTTGCTAGGCAATTTTGCTAAAGCCTTATTTATGCTTCTATTTATGCTTCTAGCTATTTTATATTTTTATAACAATATTTATATATACTTAACTAATAAAGGCAGACTGTTGGTCTTCCTTTTTCTAATTGAGCTAAGTTGACCTCTAAATAATCACAAAAGTAGTTTAGTTTTAGGCCTCTGCTTTAGGATGTTGAGCGTCGTTAATAAATTTATCACCACAAAATATATACAGGGTGATATTTTCCAAAGCACCATCACCTTATGAAAGTTAAATGGTAACATTTATATATGTATTTAATTAAAAAATAGTTTTCTGAAAATGTTGACTAGTTGATTTAAATGGTTATCTACCAGACAACCATTTTTTTTAAATTATTCTTAATTTAAAAAGTTTATTTTATATATTTGTTACTATTTAAGTTTCAAAAATTGATGGTGCTCGTAAAAAAGGTAAGTATTTGGTAACTAAAAAGAAAAATGATAAAATTGTGATTTTTTTTCTAGAAAATGAGTATCTTAATTTTATTCTGTATTTTATCATCCTGTATGTATATTAATATTGAAAATGGGAATAATCTAGAATTGTATATGTGTTTCTGTTATTTTCTAGTAAACGTAAGTTCCGAGGAAGAAATCATTTGAAGACAACGTGGCTCGTAACACCTAAAGATAACTGGCCACCTATTGGGAAATCGGGTAATTATAATATAAGGAATTCGATTTTTGAGTTAATATAAATATATTTGTTATATTTTAGGATCTACGATGAAGTACATAGAAACTAAAAATGGTATAATGTACTTCGCATTTGAACACAGTTCAGAATATCAACAAGTCCAGATGCAACTCTACGATGCTGTTTCACTCATGTCACAAGGCAATTTGGTGGTATGTTGTAATTTATAAGTTGTAGTAAAATGATTGGTTTTGTTATTGAAATTGTGCTTTTAGAATATTATCAATAATCACCCGTACCACGTCGATGTACTACTGCAAATGACAGAGTGGGCACGCTTGAGTGAAGATCTGCCTGTAGCTGCTGAACTCACAGAACAAGCATTGTATTCTTTGGAAAATTCGTTTCACCCTATGTTCAGTTTGTCAAATGGCAAATGTCGCTTAGACTACCGTTTACATGAAAATAGGTAAGAAACTATTTACAAATTTTGTAGCATGATTGATTACAACTATTATTATTTAATTTAGAATTGTTATATATTTAGTAATTGACCTGTTGATATTTGTTTTAGGGCATTGTTCTTGACATTGTATCGACATTTAACGTTTGTGGGACTACGAGCCTGCTATCGTACGGCACTTGAGTTTTGCAAACTTCTTCTGTCGTTGTCACCAATGGACGATCCACTGGCTATTGTACTGTGTATAGACTTTTACGCTCTCCGTTCATGTGAATATACATGGTTCATTCATTTTGTTAACGCCTTTGACTCCGCTCGTAACCTCACTCAGCTCCCTAACATAAAATTCTCATTGGCGGTTGCTAAATGGCAAAAAGGTGACGTTGAAGCCGCTCACACATTACTGCAAGAATCATTAATCATGTTCCCCGGTGTTTTATTACCTCTGCTGGATAAGTGTTCAATTCAGCCCGATAAAAGAGTCACCAGTCACTCGTTTTTCACTAGTTACGCCACTGAAACGTAAGAACATATCATCATAGTATAGCTATTTTTATTAAATTAATATGGAAAATAAGAAGTATTATTATAATATTCCTTATTTTGGATTTAATAATAGTTTTTTTTTTTTACTGAAAATCCGAAGCATTGTATTAGAAAACTAGCACGTTTCATTTTTCCACAAAAACCAATACGATTCGGGCACCGTCATAATGAAAACTATAACAATTATCGATACTGCCTCGACATTTGTATATTAATAATTTTGCAATCTTAAAAAAGTTTTTCAAAATATTAACATATGTATTTTAATTTTAAAATGCCATTTAATAATACAAAATTAAAATAAATATTTTTTGGTTAAAATTAATTTTAATAAATATTATTTTTCTAAAATTATTTTTGTCTAAAAAAACGAGTAAGAAAAATTATTATTTCATGTTTTTTTTTTTTTTTTTTTTTTATATTATTTAATTAAACAAAACTATTTTATTTAAATCAATAAAAATAATTGAATCATTTCACAAAATTATGCAAGTCGTTGTTTATACTTTTCGACAAATTTGATACTTAAATACGTTGTTATATTTTATGTTATATAAAAACTACATTTTTTTGGTAAGGTCTTTCAGATGAGCTTCTACTTTTTTTCTTACTTACATTATTAATTAAATTTAATAGCATGTATTACCTATAAGTGTTATAATTTTGAACTAATTTTAATATAACGAATTACTATTGCATACAAAAACCATAAAATAAAAATTATGTTTTTTTTTACTTAGGTAATGAAATATAGTCAAATGCTTAAAACTATAAATTATCAATACTAAAGATCTTAAAACAAATAGTATAAATAGGTTCACCTATGCGTGTTAATACCTAAAACGTGTTAGTTTTGCGGCCAATACAAAATCGTTACAACATTTGTAATTTTGAAATACGTATGCTATCATTCTTAGTAATCTAAAATATGCAATTTTTAGTAAGGATAGTAAAACATACTAATATTTTTAATCAATGGTATATTATTATGAAAGAAAGACTGTATAAGCATTTGGTTTTTTTTTTCAGGCAACCAAAAGCGTTATCTTACCTAATATCTATGTACGTAACGAGGAGTTATCACGTGTGGAAAGAAGTTCAGTTATTGCCGTGGCTCGAACGCAATGTACAAATTGTATTGGACCGAGTGGATGCTAAAGATCCAATGATAAAAAATATGGAAAACTTACGTGCTACTCTATTTAGTGCTAAAACTCCTTTGAACATTCATAGACACCTGCTGCTATCAGACATGAGTGATACAATTGCTCCACCAGCCGAGGTACTATTTCCGAATTTTACTCTGTGCAAGACATATTTTTTTTTAACTGAGCTGTTTATAAATAGGCTGTCACAAGTCCAATATTGATTATGGACCCGTTTCCACCACCGGATGGTACATCATTTTATAGCTCTAGATCGTCACAAAACAATACCAACCGATCATCTATGCAGAACCAGTCACTGTTTTCAACATTCTTTCGTTCTTTAAATCCAGTATTTCAAGCGCTGTCGGACGACAAGTATTTAATAACTTAAGTTCATTAGCAATTGTATCACAGAATTAACGTTCCAATGTAATAATATTTTTAGTGCTATTGAAGAAGAAGAAACGGTAGCCGAAGCAGAAACTGTTGCTGCGAGGCCTGTAATAACAATGGTAGGCGAGCAAATCGATGAAATGAGAAGTGATCTGAGGCAAAGTGTCAATTCGCTGTTAGACGCAATGAGAGACTTATTGTCTAGTGTACACGCGCCCACTGTACCAGCTGATGGTGACATAGATGACGATTCTGAACTAACCGATACTGCTTAACAATTTATATTAAACAGTATTCAGATAGTTTCACTGTGGAATCAATAGTTTTGTTCTCTTTTATTTTCTGTTAAAATATTATTCATAGAAGACTGGATTGTGGATTTTGCTGATTATAAAAATTGTATTATATATTACATTCAATTTTATGTAAAAAAAAATTATTAAGATAAAAATCATTAATGTGTGTATCGATTACATTAAATAATATATTGTATTTATCATATTAATCTCGATGATATCTAAATTAAATGTTGCTTATATTATAACTCATTTATAATTATGACACTGTAATTAAATTCTACTATATTTAATAGATTTTTCATGTTACAGACTATTTTTTAAATATTTTGGTTCTTTCTAGTTTAGCTGTATTTGTATATTTTGCAATAAGCAAAAGTGATCACTATAACTATAGCGTAAAAAATTTAATTTAAGGTATACCATATAGGAAGACAAACACACCCCTTCTCTTTTTTTATTTGTTCCTTTGTGTTGTTTACCTAAAATAAAAATGTAGTATCGTTATAAAACTAATATAATTTTGGCTCCGTTTTATCGACTTTCCTATGAAATTTCACCTGTTAATTTTGTTTTTATATAGATCCCAATTTGAAATTTATCCCAGCTTTCTGATAAAAAAAAATTTCAAATTTTGGGCAACACAAAACTCAACTTTTTAGATTATAAACTCAATTTTAATGACTGTGTTATTCGAAAAAAAAAATCAATAGGTATTCTTTTCAGAAAGCTGAGATTATTTTACATAAGAAACTGATTACTTTTTTTATGACCGAAAATACTATAAAAAAAAATGGTAAAAAGAAGTGTCAAGAAAATACTTTATACGACCATAGCCAAAGTAATCGGAAAAAAATTTGAAAACATTCTTTTCATCGTAACTGTCATGCAGTGTGAGTTTCAAAAAAAATTCGAAGGGGTCACTCCAAACGTTCGTTCGTATTTGACGTTTTGACCCATAAATTATTTTCTTTTCTTCAAAAGTTATATAATGAATATATTTTTAAATATTATGTATTAGCCTTAAACTTTTATTCTCGCCTACATCCAAATAATGCGGATAAAAATTGTTAAACAAATTCATACATACCTACTACCACTTAGCTATTTCCTGATCTTGACAATTAATATGTTTAAGTTTCAACTCATATTTCTATACTTACCACAGTGCGTCTTCTATTCGTATTTTTGGCGGTATGAAGTTTGTTTTTAACGGGATTGCATGCGGTCTATTTTTAAGGAGTTTTATATAGGCAATATTTAAGAAGAAAAAAAGGTTTTAATAAATGTTGATATGTCAATTATTTTACCGGTTAATTTGTATGATTTTTAATATAAAACATTTTTTCTATGAGTAACAGTTATTTAGGTTTATTTTAGACCAAAAAGCTAGACAAAATGTTGACTACATAGCATCCTATGGTCCGATTTCAATTCTGTAAAAATATTCGAGTTCTTTGGCTATTTTACTGTGTTATGTAGGAAGCCGATTTTAATTTAAAAATTTTAGATTCTTGTAGTTAATAAAATTTAATTTGCAATTTTTTCATTATAAAAACCCAATGTTTTTACATAAAAAAATCAAAAATCTGTTTCCTACATAAACTAATAGAGTTGCCAAAGAACTCGTGTATCTTTTAGTGATGGGAATCCGACAATACGGGTTTTCACAAAACTACGCTTTTTAAGCCACTTAAAAATCTTATAAGTACTAAATATTTTTACATTATAAATCTGTGTACCTAAGTGAAATCTTTTTGAGAAAAATGTAAAAACAAAACACAACACCAAAGAGATCAACTATTTTTGGGTTGCGGAATTGTTGAAATCCGAAAGCAATTAATAGGCAATATTAAGCTTTTTTTTTCAATTTTCATCAAAACATTTTACTTAAGTACACAGCTTTTTATTGTAATAATATTTAATACGTCTAAGATTTTTAAGTGGGTTAAATTGTTTTTTTTTTGTTTTGTAATCCGGATTTTCGGATTCCTATCACAAATATCTTTACAGAATTTAAATCGGACTAATTCTAAGTAGTAGAAATGTTGTCTAGCTTATCGGTAAAACAAACCAGACCACACGTAATCCCCTTAAGGTCAGGTCTTTTATGTTTTAACTTTATCTACTTATCGAGCTAGAGATCAGAAATTTTAGGGATTTCTTATTTGAATAGGCTAACACTATTAATTGAAAGGTTGAACCGTAGAAAAACCAAAAGAACAATTTAATATATTATATTATAAGAATGCCGAGTTGTTCTTATCCGAGTTAGTTTTTCAAAAATTAATCGAAAGTCGGCCATCAACAGGGAACTAACTAGTTACGAGGCACCTCGGTTGAACCGTAGAAGATCTGATGGGAGAAGGAAATAAGACTTTTGATTGCGATGAAACAACGCCTTAACGGCAAATAGTCGAACGGTGGAGGAGTTGCTGACCACGGTATCCGGTCACGGTGTCGAAAAGCTTGCTACGGGCAGCAAAAGAGCAATATAACTTTATCTTTCATTTTTTCTAAAATAATAATTAATTGTGACACGTGTACTGTACAGTGTTTTAACGTGCATCTGCTGTAAAAGTGAAAATTATGAATAAATAAACGGCTTGCCGGTAGACCGCAGTGTAGGGAGGCAACAGAGAGTAACCAGAACTACCCCTGTTCAATTTTATCGACAGCCGTCTTGCAATAAAAATCACAAGGGATCCTGTCGCACGCCGATAAACCGTCGAACTGGCGTTGAAAAAATATATATATGCGTGGCAATAAATTGTTCTTTTTTTTTCTATGCTAGTGACGAGTAAACAGGAAGAACGTATATTTTTGTCTTTAAAAAAAAATATATATATATATAATATACAGATATTCGTTATAAAACGCCCTCCATTCTGTTTTTAATCACGGTTTATCCTCGTACATCGACGATCACCCTTAATATAAACACTGGCCGCTCATTGCAATACACGTTCACATAATTGTGGTGGCGCGTATGCCGTACTCGTTGAAAGAACCGACGAAAAACGTACGTTGCTTTTTAGCTAAATGGATCCGAAAATAATACATCGCATTATAATGTGAGCTCGTGTTGAGATAAAATATATTTTCGGCACTTGTGGTGGGCTTCAATGATAAAGTGTCTTTGAGCCGTGCTCTTACACGCCGATCTTCTGTTTTTCAATAAAAGTGGCGATAATGAATAAATTCACTTAGAGTAGCAGTGTTTCGCCAATAGAAGAAATGTGCATAGAATGGATTAAGATAGATTGGTAAACCGGAAAAAGTACACAGTTGGTCCAACTAAAATTACGGTTAATATAGGGACACGAATCACAATAAATTTCTAGCTGGAATAACTAAATAAATAGTCGGGCCAACTAAATTTTTTGTTTAAGCGACTATACATTTAATTGGGCCAACTATTTATTTAGTTATTCCAACTAGAAATGTATTGTGTATATTAGCCATCATTTTAGTTGGACCAACTATGTAATTTTTCTGTGCTTGTTAAAATAAAAAGGGAAGGGGCAATTGTAGCAAATCGGTGTGTCCAGTTTAAGTGATTAGATAATAACATCGGCGTGTGTGAAATAGATAGAGAAATAATTATAAGAGATAAAGATTTTAATACTTGTAAACTGCTTTTACACGAGATAAGGCAGGGACGAAGAAAGAAACAATAGCGGCTTACCCGATTGACAAAAACATACTGCCTACTTACTTGTGAATTGTGATGGTATATACCCACTAAATGTAACCAATACAACAATGTATAATAATTAATAACTGTATAATATTAAATATATGGATAAAATATGACTTATGAAAGCGTACGTAGAAACGTCAAGTATAACTTTTCAAAGTTAAAACAGTTAACACTTATAATTAGACGAAGCAGTCAACTATAGTTAAAAAACTGTTTACCAACGAGTCTATAAGTAACTATTCAATTTCTTTTTACTATTTCGGTAACGTGGACCCGTTACAGTGGTGTCTTTAAAAAAACATTTTTATTTTGAGTCCGATTTGAAACCCTGAAACCACTACGCTTAGGTTATAGATATAGAGTTCAAATACAAATTATTTAAACAATGATTAAAAGTTCAATGTAAATATAACCAATATAATTTCAACTCATTTCAGCCCTTTAGAAACATTATCTCATGATGGCAACGTTGTTTTTAAAATACCGTTAAGCTGATGGTGATGATGAAAAATTAAATCTATAATATTAGATTGGTGTGTGGAAACTATTACTGTTTGTGTCAATGCTCGACTCTTTCGCCTATCAAGAGTCAAGACTTACCATTGTTAATAGTGTAAATTTTATAGTTTGATACATTAAAAATCTACGATTAGGAAAAATGTATAAAAAGTGAAATCGAAAACCTAAGCAGAATTGTTTGATTGATTTAAAAAAATATTATGCTAACTAAAAAAAGGACGGATAAGGTAATTTGTGTACAATGTAGTAATCAAAGGTAAAAATGTTTAGACGCCGTGTGTGGTGTTGAATATTGGAGTTCATGGTTACGTTTTGGACATGCATATTATATATGTGCGGTCCGCATATTAGACGTGGCCTAATAATATACTCGTTGTTGGCAAATCGCCCCGGCGGTGAAAAAAACATAACCGGCGTGGGCCCTGATCTCTTGACGACGATGCCGGTCCTGCGAGTGGCGGATGCTGCTGATTGGGCGGATGGCGGCTCTGCCCACTTTTTTTCACTCTCCGGCACGGGCGCTCCTCCCGGGACAACTACAGTGCTCCCGTTGCCGCTCCAACCGGTTGCCCGCGCCAACGTCAAGGAGCAAATTTGTGTACGACTGGTAAACAATAAACACGTACGTTTACACATTGCTCTTGGCTGTATAGTAAATAATAACAACAATAATAATAACAACAACAACGATAGCGATCATAAGACACCGTCTTTCTTGCATGATGAACGATAATAATTATTACGCGCGCCGTGTGTTGTAAATAAATCGTTAGCGCATTGTACGCACGAGTGACCTAAATAACCGAAAAGTTATGGACCTGCTAATTGTGAAGGCCGAAGCCGACGACAACAAGAGGAAATCGAAAACCACCGCCGGGCCCGTGAAAACAGCGACAGCGTCGGCCGCCGCGGGCCGGTCAGAAAAACCGCCTTATTCCTACATAGCCCTCATAGTGATGGCTATACAGAGTTCGCCTGTCAAGCGGTTAACCCTGAGCGAGATATACGCTTTCCTACAACACCGTTTTCCGTTCTTCAGAGGATCCTACCAGGTACCTAAAAATAATTTTAATAATATATTGTGTTTAAATTGAAAAATTTCAAACAAAGAGATCTAATCAATAAACGCCAACACGTTTAGGAGATGACAAAAAAAAATAGAATAAGCTTACACAAAATGTTATTAAGTCAGCAAGGTTAAATTATGACAAACATATTACCTACGTATTTTTTTCTACTGTGAAGTGTTAAGTAACTTTCTAACAATTTTTTCAAGAGAGCTAAATAAAAATTATATGTTGTATGTATTATTTTGGATGATGTTCATTAGTTTTCTTCAATACAATTTTTAAAAATTTACAAAAAAAAAAAACTATAAAACAAACACATGGTCTTATCGACAACAATTGATTATAAAAATATTTAATTTTAATAAATAATAACAAAATGTTTTAAAAAATTCTCATTTGTATCCTTTGGTTCTGAGTACTTCCAGTAATAAAAAACCAACTTGACACAAATTTAAATGTTAAACAAATTTATTTTATCTTTCGTGTATAAAAGTAAAGTCTAAGAAAATCACATTTTGTAGGGGATTTTTTATAATAATAACTATTTATAAAAATGTATATAAAATAGATAATTCAAAAATGTATAGTGCTACTTCATCGACAAACTGATTATTATTCAAAGAGAAAAATCTTCAAAATGTAAAGCTAATATTTTATGGAAATACAAAAAGTCATAATTCTACCAAAACAACTATATATTTAGAAATTTAAACGTCTTAATATTACTGATAGGTACATAATTATAAATATTTTATAAAATATTATAAAAAAACGTTTATATAAGTACGGATTTTAATATCAGTAAAAACTAAAAATAATTGTTTTGTAATCATGATGCTAATATTTTTTCTTAGTAGTATTTAATATTTATAGTTAAACTTAATAGGTGCTAAGCCTAAGCCTACTAAAAAATTGTCACTATAGGTTTTGGAATATTTTTATTTAAGTGTTTTCTTAAAATAATATATTTTAGCCATACACACTTATCTAATTTTCGACTATTATTTATTTTTTATTTAAACTAAAATTTAAATTTAATTTTAATAGGTAATACCGTCTCAGTCTTGTATTGAACTTAAGCTAAAAATAAATACATCAAGTTGTCATTACAGTTAAAAGCAAAATGTTAGGCTTCTTGAAAAAATCTTTAATTTGGTATATTTTCACTATGAAAATAATTATTTAAGCTATACTTTTAAAAATTCGATAGAAGTAAATTGTAATACATATCGATACACGTGTGAATCTGTAAATTTCTAATTAATCAAAAATTACATCGTTTTCGTATTTATAATTAATGTATTAATTTCTATACATTTTAGATTTTAATTTTAAATATGACTATTAAAAAACAAATTAACCCTTTATATTTTTTGGTAGTTCTTAAACAAAAATCAAAGTCTGCAAACCGTGTAAAGTTTATATCTTTAAACAAAAAATTAAGTTAAAAATAATATTTTTAAGATACCTAATACAAAAGTTGTCATACTTAACCGAAATTAAAAAATCGGCCATAGTTTGTGACTGTAATTTTCGGCACTAGGACCCTTAAGTACTAGTAATTCGCCAATTTTTAAATATTATAGTAATATAAAAAAATTGCTTGGATAAAAACATAGTTGGATGTATATACCTAATTGTGTTTAATAGTTGGAAAAACTAAATAAATAGTTAAGCCAACTAAATGTATAATTGATTTAACTAAACATTCCGTTAGTTTAATGTTTTCCGTAGTTTTATTGTATTAAAGTCAGTTATTTCATTACCGAACATTTACTTACTACCGATTCAAACAAATTTTACCGAAATAGAAACTCTTGTTTGAAATACATTTTAAAAACGATTCATACATATTTTATTGGCCTTTTTGCGATGCAAACATCATAATATGCGATTGTCATGTTTTGACTTATTGCCATAAAAAATCAAACGTTGTAGACCCAAACCCTCGGTTATGGCCAATTTGCTTTATTCGTGTCTCGATTAACTTAACTTAATTATTAACTTTTTGAAGGGCAAAAAACATCACCAACAAAAGACCCTTAAGGGGCATGCTGAAGATGATAAAATCAGCAAAAAATGGAAGGAAAAAAAAAACATAGAATAAGTGTGAAAATTCAAAATAATAAGCAACCCCACGACCGAGTAGTAATAATTATTTTATGTGGTCATCACTGCTAACATTGATTAAATACAATTTTGTATTTTATCAATGCTACTAATCACCGTCAAAAAAAATTTGAAAAATGTTAAATATACGTAGTTACCCACGCTAACCACCACACCTTATGGGGCCATAACAAAATTGGTTATTAGAGTATTTTTCAGTTCGGACAGCGGTAAATAACATCGAGGCAGGTGGGCAAACATGAGTTTTTCGTATTTTAGTTTTTGTTACAAATTCGTGTTACACAATGTAGTCAAACTGTTAATTGATTACAAACTGCAGGCGTGTTCATTTTACTTGAGTTGTATACATTAAAATAGTATTTTTATCTTGTTTGTTTTATAGGGTTGGAAAAACTCGGTGCGGCATAACCTATCACTAAACGAATGTTTCATAAAGCTGCCCAAGGGTCTGGGTCGACCGGGCAAAGGTCACTACTGGACGGTAGATCCGGCGTCTGAACTAATGTTCGAAGAGAGCTCGTTCCGGCGGCGACCCCGAGGATTCCGTCGCAAGTGCCAAAAAGTGGTCATGTCAATGCCAGTCAGTGGTTACCAACAAACACAATACCACCACCATCACCATCATCATCAACAACCACCATCATCACAAACACAACCGCAACAACAACAGCAGCAGCCACCGCCTCCACCTCAGCCGCCTACGTCTAACGCTCAATGCTACCTGCATGACCAGTACGACTACGAAGACACGGCCGCCGCCGCCGTTGTCAGCTACCAGCAAGACTATCAGCAGACATACAGAAACGACCAGCTCGACCATTTGACCAGTTTTTGGCAGGCGCAAAAATCCGAAGCCTACGGTTATCAGGATCAATTTGACTACGGGTGCCAGTACAACGTAACGCACGATAATGGTACGTATAGCAGGGCGCTCGCTCTGCACTTAAATTATCTATTTAAATGATGATTAGTATAGTAAAAGAAAAAAAAAAAATAGAAAAATTTTGCAATTGCTTATAAAACTATTACTAAGCAATTTGTTAGCGATGTGTTAATTTTAATAGTAAAAATCTTAAGTATCAATCAAAACTATTACAAGGTAATATTGTTTATACAATTTTTTTTATTAGATTTATTTTAGTTTTTTACTAGTTTAAAAAAAAATCTACTTAATACGTTGTACATCACAAGGTAGCTGTTGCGAATACTCTAAACGCAAGATATCAGAGATGTGCATGAGATTAAACCTTAACATTTTTCTATCTACTTTTGGGTAAAAAAATGAATACTACAATTTTTCGTAAGGCGAATGGAAACGTATTACTATTTTTAACGACCGTCATATTATTATTTATTATGCTAGCTTAATATCGCCTTTGCCATTGTGCATAATAATATAATGTTATAATTATTGTATAACTATTTAATATACTTGATAAGTACACATTGAACACAAGTGGAGTTGACATATTCAATTTATTGTTATGCGAAAAAAGAAATTCTACAAAGAGGGGAATTTCTTTTTTCACACATTAGACATATAAAAATCATACATCATATAAGTTATATATGATTGCAATCAAAAACGTCAGAACTCACACGAATACATAATATAATATTCAAAAAAAAAATACTTCCTATAGTTATTAAATTTAACGGGTCAAGTTAAATGACTGTGACACCAACACTTACGTGTATGATGGGTGCAACGGGGCTAATATTATTTTTTTATTGTACTCGATTAACATTTTATAACACCTCTAGCAAATGTAAATGACGATTCATTACCAAAACGTTTTTAGTAAACTTTCTCCGCTTAACATTCAAAAAAGCATCTAAACACTAGTATTTACATAACTGTGCGGTTTTCGTGGCGCATAGTGTAAAAAATTGATATTAAAAAATGCGGTTAAACAGTACATCACATGCGGTGACAATAAACGCGAATGGACAGTTACGGATATTGTTATTAGAAATAAATACCCTAGCTGTTTTTTCCTTTTTTTTCGGGTCAAATGGGTGTTTTTTTAAGTTAATATTATTCATACGTCGCCATGACCCGTATATTATTATTATTATCATACCGAATCCCTCTGACCTACACAAACGACCAAAACGGCTGTCTGTTTTTTAAAATAAATCGTCGTTGCATGTTAGACCACCCTTCGCGGGTTGTTTGTGTGCGCAATATATACATACATATGTATATATTACACACAAGCAGTGATGATGTCACAGAGTAAAAGAAACTATCGTTGTGCGCCGTGCTTAGACGACATGTACATTAAATAGGTATTTAATTATTATCGTGTGTAAGGTCAAGAGGTTCCGTCACTGATCCGTAGGCCCTCGTGAAGAAAAACAAACGCACGTGGCCTTGTCAAGAAACCACTTGTTTGTCCGTGAAATATATGTACATGTTGACATATTTTTGCCTTATAATTTTTTTTTCTTTTCGAAACCCCATCGATTTCGCCACACGTTGGCCAAAAGTCAAAAAGGTACAAGTGGGTGTGAAAAATACGAGTGCGCGCTTAGCAGCAGTCAGCCATAATTTGTATTTTTAGACTATATAGCTAAGGAAATAAAATACTACTCTAAGTTTGTCGACTGGCATGTTCAATTTACATGTATTTTTTTATCTGACGATTTTAGGTTACAACGTGGCCATGCGAAGACAGGCCAGTGGAGGACAAATGCAACAGCCGATTTTGGAAAACGGCATGAACGTCACAAACGGATTAACGCAACACTTAGGATTGCATCATTATTACGAGTGCCCTAAGTTTTGTTAATATTAAAATAATATTATATTTCTGTGCGTTTGTACATTATATATTATAAACTTAACGATTTGGGGAAATGAGGGTTGTATCGTTAAAAAATTGTTCACATAAAATGAACAAGTTTGACATTTTTTCATTAATATGATAAATAAAAATGTTTTTTTACAATTTTTTTTTTTTAATTTTATGTATAATTTATTAAAGAAAAGTGCTTTTAAAAACTTCAAAGCATCTAATAATAATCGAATTAAATAATAGTTTGTTAATTTCTAATGATTGAATGGTAGGTGTGGCGCGATATATTTAAATAAATATATCTAAAACTAATCTAAAATATAATCTAAAACTAGTCAGCGGCACATTACTATCATTAGCTAAATCCTCGTATTTTAATCTTGAAAATCAAATGTAAAAAGTCTGAAAAGTAATTAATTTATTATAATTTATAAATATTATTGTAAGTAGCCATGCATTTAATTATTAAATAAAACAAACTAGGTACTGTGTAACTACTGGATTAACTTTTTTTTTTTATAATTTTATACTAAAGCAAACAACATATCTTATAATTATAAGAATCTTATAAACATTGTCAACTACACTTGTCGTCTTCTCTAAAATTTATTTATGAATGAAACAATAAACACTAGAAGTAAAAATTAAAGCCGGTGTTTTGACTGCACTCTTCAAAACTATAGGGTTCCAAACGGCGGCCGCAGACCACCCGTGTCCATATGTTTTGGGTAAGTATAAAAACAGTATAACTCACGCCTTACTACTGTCTCATGCGGACTTTTGAAATACACAAGATATCGTTTTATTTTTTGAAGAAACGCCGATTTGGACCGAACATGTGTTAACGTGTGCGTTTTGTGTGTTTAATAGTTTACAACACCCATGTGTGTATGTGTGTGTGTGTGTGTGTGTGTGTGTGTGTGTGTGTGTGTGCATAATGCACATTAAACCATCCGACAATAAAATATTTTAAACGTAAACAATGAAATCCCTTCGTGTAAACATGGCTTATAGTCAAAAAATTCGTACGATTCAAATTGGTTTATTATTAAAAATAAACACTAAGGAATCTTGGGAATTGATAGAGCCTAATATAATATGCCTAAATTAGAAAAAAAAAATTAATTTAATTCAATCGCAGGTTTAATCTCGGCTTATGCGTCAATTTAAATTGTATAATAGAATCCTTAATCAGCGTAAATAATTGTATGGATATAAATTAACTTTTGTACTTAACTTCTTAAACAAACAAAAATCAATAATAAAATTATTAATTTTCATTTAGTCCCCATCTAATTTAAACTGTTTAAACATAGAGACCAATTATTAGTTTCACTTGTTAAAACCCATTTATGGCGTTCTCTAGAATCTTATATTATCTTGAATTTCAAATTCGTCTTTAGATGAAGCCTAGACCTGTCTTCATGACATTAAATTCCCGATAATGTTCCCAAGAGCCACATGAAAGGGAAATGCAGTCGGCACTACAGTTAGCTTTTAGTTTTAATGCCGCCGATTGTTGTTGTCATTTTATCATCGGTTTTGTGACACCTTCCTGTCTTTTATGACGGCGGCCCGACAAAGAGTTAGATCTAGAAAAACGATATCCATTTAACATCTGGAGTTTTTGATTTTTAAATCCAATATGGATAATATGTTTGTACACATGCATTCAACATTTGTGTTTGTTTATCCATTAATCTATACATATATACATATAGCATAGAGCGTATTGATGAGAATATTTTTTAATCACCATTATAAGCCGATCAACTGCAGGAGTAGCACACGTTACGTTACATAAGGAAACCGCAAAGGGAAAACCGTATAGGACGATTTATATTAATATATAATTTAGAAAACACCGAAAAGAAAAATACATTCTGAACGGATTTATAATTAGTTATTTTATTGTTTTTTTTAATTGAAATACTTAAATAATACATATTTAAACGGTACTTATGGTTTTAAATACAATAAAGTGTTTCAGAAATAAAAACATAATTTATATAATATAACGATAAATATGTATTTTTGCGGAATATCATTAATAAATTGACTTAATTATTAGTTTTACACTATATTGTGTTAATTGATGTGGGATTTCCAAAACGTTTGAATTGACAAATTCTATATTGAAACTAATACCAGTGTACGACTTTACACATGATAAAACTATATTAATCGATCACACTCGGTAGGTATATTTTGTATAGGTCGACCTAATTAATTAGTAAATCGACATGAACATTTTAGAACACAATAACTACATACTCAGAAAACATTTTTTTTTAACAGCGTCAATTAAATGGTTTGTCGACCAAAAGGAGAATTCGATTTATTTATACGCACCGCAATCCAAGTTTAATTCCAACTAGCTTAATTTGATTTTTTCTATACGTTGTTCAACGACATATTTAACAAATGCATAACTATGATCAGGGTTAAACAATTATTGAAACTTGAGTGGGGTATTATATTTACACTATTTACATGACTTGAGGTTACTCCCACTTGGAGTAACCTCAAGTCGTGTAAATAGTGTAAATGATCAGGGCTGTGAAAAACAAGAGGTTTCTTATAGCCCACGGGCATCTAAGAATTTTAATAGAAACCCAAATAAAAATTTAACGCTCATGTTTTTTTGGTAACAGGTCGATAAACTATGAAATAAATAAACGGTCCGGAATGTGTTGAAAACTTTTACAAAACACTTATAAGAGAATCGGCATCTATTTATAATTATTATGTTTTTACTGATAATTACATGCTCTATACTTGATCACGTCGAGTGTAGTTGTAATAACAATTTTAAAATTATTTAGTGATGAACAATTAATAATATAAATAGTTTGTAAACTTTGGATAGGTATATTGTTGGGATGCCATTTAATGAATGCCGAGAGATAGAATCTCAGGGTAACAAATTTATATATTTTTCTGGAAGACTTTTGAAACATAATAAAAACAAAAATATTGAACTGACAATGATAATTAACACTCTTATAAATACTATATACGTGACTCTTTCAAAAAAATAACAAACTAAATAAATTAAATTATAACAAACATTAATACTTGATTAATATAGAATAGGTATTTGAAAACGTAATTATAACGGTTAAAATATTATCTATAAGTATAATATTGTATTGTTTTTAATTTCATATATGAGGCGTTCTGCGCAAGTGTAGACTAACCCACAAAAACCAAAAAAGGGAGTAAAATAACTTTAAAGTTTTTCATTTACACTGTACTAGGTGAAAATATATTTTTTTTAAGGTGCTGCCTTCCATTAGAAATTTAAAAAAAAAACAAAAAAGCTAGTGTTTCATCAAACTATTTTTAATTCTAAATAAAATGGTACTATTTTCTCCCTTTTTAGATTTTTTTAGGTTAGTCCACTTTTAAAATCACCGCCTCGTATATCGGTCGGGGTATTTAAAATATAACATTAATAATATTTTTATTTCTCTTCATAATAATATTATAATATCTTAACTTAATATTGTAGTATAATTTTATTAGAAATAGATATTGTATTATAATGTAGAAGTAAGGACAAGGCACACGTCTGGGAGAAAAATCATTTAATTTTTGTGAAATATATGTATAACATTTATTTTTGCGAAGACCATAAAGTTTAAATCATATTCTAGTGGAATTTTTTTCATTATGACGACATTGCCTACATTTCTTGAAACTCATATTAATAAATAACTTCACTCACAAATATACATAAATGTTTTAAAATTTACACTAATTTTTCAGTAAACTATAGAAAATTATTCACGTATACATTTTAGATTGCTTTAGTTTGACATTAGTATATAAATGCCAATAAGCAATTTTTAAAACATTTTCTAGAAGAGAAACAAAGTTATTTCTAATTGTAAATAATTTTTTTGTCGTTGGTAATTAATAAATTCTAAATGTTACACTATGTAAGTGCTTAATTTCCTACTAGTAGAACTCTTTTTACACGCAAGAAAAAGCCTAAATCAATAGTATATATATAGTATCAATTAGTATATTTCGTATGTTTTAACTATAATAATAATTGACCTAACAGAGGAAATGTCTTGCGACCAACAAGAAGTGTACGGTTTTAATAATTGTATAGAAATTTTCGCTATTTTTAAACAACTAAGGAATTTTTTGAATTTCAGAAGAAAATTAATGAACACAGTTATAATAAAATAAGTGGGGAGTTAATAATGACTCAGTTGACGTACCCGTTTTTATAACGCGACCAAGTTTACATACGTGTGGTCCCTATTCCAAAAATGAATACATACCGTTCCTAATAAATTATATAAGTAAAAAAAAACTTAAAGGAAAAAAAAACCAAATCAATTTAGATGAAAATATAAATAGTTCCAATATAGGTGTTTTTGTCAATTTGATTAATCGAAGTTATGGGACGGTCGGTACTACTGGTATGGATCCGTTTTCTCTGATATCCTCTTTACTGGCGTTAGTCGAAGAAGCCGGTGTGTTGTCATCGTGAAAGAGTGGGTTTTTCACTTCCATTTCACCCGCCTAGTTAATAAAAAAATGTTTTAAGGAAAAAGTGACTTAAATATTTACAAGAATCCTTACAGGTGCTAATCCGGGACACTCGTACACTGTATAATCTCCTTCCTCGTTGTCATCGTCGCTGTCAGGGTCTGTAATGGAACCACTTCGACCTTCTTTTGCGGCACTATTCCTGAAAAAAGCATATTGCTCAGCGTACCATATTGTGCTGCGCACATAATAAAAACTATTATTTTATTTAGAGTTAAAATTATAATAAACAGATAAACCTTATTATTGCAAAATATTATTAAATCACGGTAAAATCAAATTCATACATGAACTTATAAAATTACTATTTACGCGTTACTATTTTATTACACTTAGAAATTATAAGTAGATCATACAATTAAATCAAAGTTCAAAAGTATGTGTCAATAATTTAATGGAAATACCTAGACATATTTACACCCTGCTCAAAGAAAAGTCACTAAAGTTAAAAGTATAATTTAATTTGTAACAAAAAAAAGAAATTACCACAGTGGAGACGAATGCTACTGGTTTGGATGTCAGAACAAATGTTTAAGTTATATAATCAATGATTCACATTGCAATGCAAATATATGTCTTATAAATGATAATAACATATTACCTATAAGGCTTCTAAGCCAAGTCTCGAAATAAATTCTCGCAATTTATGCGCATAATATATTTCGAATCAGACTTGCATGCAACCGAGCTAACGTGAATCACATATTATAGTTATTCTCGAAACAGTGTCAATTACAGACTTTATTTAGGATTAGGTAGCGTTCGTTGTATTGACGTTTTGTAGTATTTTAAATTTTAAACCATATTTTATATTTATTGTTTACCGCAAGAGCCAATTCAATAGCGAAATCGCTGTGGCCAATTATTATGTCATAGGTTTAAGAAAAAATTATATATACATATTTATAAATATATTTACGTTTCCATAGCAATAATCTGTTGTTTTTGGTGTTGGTAATGATACATTTGGGCTGATTGTGCCAGTCGTCGATCACCGGTGGGTGAAAAGTCTTTGTTGGGTCCTGTTATGCCGTATGCTGGATAATCTATATCTGCCGCAGCTTTTTTATTTCTTTGCATCCTAAAAGTCGGTTTATAAATACATACGATGACTTAAAACATTTCTGAAAATACTGACCTGAAACAAGCGATAGAGGATATGACCAGAACAACCAATACAGCTAGTCCGACTCCAGCAGCTTTTGCTGTAAAAAAAACAAGTTTTATTACATTATATAGATGATACAAAACACGAACTATAAATTAATATAAAATAAAATTTGTATTATTTTTTATTTAGCATTGAGAAGAAAGAAGATTAGTAAAAATTAACACGTTATTCCATTTACATAAAAAGACGAATTATCTATTCAAACTTTCCAAAGTAAAAGCGCTAGAACGAAATTAGTTTGAACAAAAATAGGGATAATATTAATAAGTAAAAAAGGAGTTTAAGCTTTCCACCATCAAGACACTTCATAATTCCTCAAAACAACATTGGCTATGCTTATAAGCAATTAGACTAACAAACTCATTAAATATTTTTACTACAAATTGTTTTTTTTTAAATAAAACTATATTGTAATAGTATAATAAAAATATTTTTTTTATACCAAATAAAAACGGGATCGATTTTGTCTTGGACATATTTTTAAATAAAATTCAAAGTTACACGAAGCTTAAGTTAAAAATATCAATTATAATTACTATAATTTTCGCAACTGTAATTTTGTTCTGTGTATAAAAAAGAATTATACATTATTTTATAGAAGTATAAAGTGTTCTAATCATTTTTATCAGAGCTAACTTATTTGATAGCGTAATAAAATTTCGTGTTCCTTCCGAGGGTTTTAATAACATTTTAGATTTCTGGTTAAAATAGTAATACTAAACCAACATTTTAGCATCAATGATGATGGACATTTAGAGTAGAGGTCGATAGCGGATAGATCCTTTTTTTTTCAAATGGACGCCTGTGGATTTCGACACTCAAAATAGCTACACATTACCATTATACTGCATACGTTTCAACTTAGCCATTATCGTCCAGGCGTAAAAGCTTTAATAAGACCTTCGTGGAAACCAATATTGTTAAAGTTTAGACAGTATAAAATAACCACATCTACCGTGGCAACGCATTTTAGTGTACCGCGTGAAGTGGAATACACTAGAAATTAATTTAACCTCAATGTTATTTCTACACAAGCTGCCAACCCGATTATGTTTACCTATTTTTTATTTATTTTAATCAAAAACATAGAATAGAACAAAATATAAAAATTCGGCTAGCTTTCAATTTTAATACCTAACAAGTATTACCGTTGAAAAAGTTCAGAATTAAGCCAAGGGAGTATTTTACTTTTTAATAAAACGTATCGGTTTTTTATTACCAATACTGTTATTGTGTTTAAGTTAATATAGTTATTATAGCCAAATCTAAAAACTAAGAGCAATCTATACGCTTTTTGTTTTTTATAAGTTTATATTAGTGTATTTTTGTGAACACCATTACATCATTGATGAATATACGTTTGCAGATAGCTGATTTAAACCTTAGACTCATTCAGAAATGTATGTTTTATGCCAACAAGTGAACATTTTATACATATTAGGTTGGTGAAGTTCCAACCATCTTATATCCACTGTAAGTGGACTGTCAGTGTTAGCATATAACACACATTTCTGATTGAGATATGGGCGGATTTTTGGATTAGTACGAGTATTTCTATTCTATGCATTAAAATGAGACAAGATATTATGTATGTCCATAATACGTGGACCTACACATTTGCGTTGTAGAAATAATACCAAGAGAATTTTAGTAACAGGTAGCTGCATATTATACATACACATTACTCTGTCCTTAATCCGAGTTGTAACAACTTTCGAGTCAAATTAAACTGTATTCTACTATCCAAAACTATTTAGTTACACTTCATTTAAATTATTTCGTAATTTAATTTAAACCTTTTTTATAGTACTTTTATATAGAATGGCTAAACATTTTTGAACACGATTCAACATCTAATATTATATAAGTAGAAAACGATTAAACCTCCAACTACGAGTATTAGTACTCGTTTGCTACTGACTACTGTTCAAATTAACGTATGAAACTCTAAGCGTTTGCGATCAAAATAATAAGTTATTAAATAATCCTAAAATAATATTTTGACGCTATAAGTACACAAATAAGTGGTTTAAAGGGGTTTATGTAAAATACTATAAAAGCCTATTACTATTCTAACTGAACATATAATAATAAGTACCTATATATATATATATATATATATAATCCAATTATAGTTTACTCTATGGAGCGTGCATTATGCTTAATTAATGTAACGGTGATTAGCATACAGCGAATATATGACAGATGGCAGAAAAGATTATCAATAGTGCGTATTGTTTTATGTTAACTTATGAATTATGATTTATTCAAATGGTCATGCTCCCAAACTCTCAAACTCGATGATGAGGAAACGTATACTAGTTTATTATATTATGCATACTCCCTATGCAATTTTCAAGTGCAAGGTAGTAAGTATTAAGGTAAATGGCTAAAAACACCAACAAGTTTAAAGTGATTAATGATTATAAACAAATTAATGGATAAATTAAAATTCCTACAAATTATTTCGGTAATGTTTGTTCACTGTGCAATTGAATTCGGTTAATTAATAATAAATACGAATTTGAAAAAAAAAATGTTATTCATCGATGAAATATTATACTATTTACTTATAATGCTGCCAACCAAAATAAATCTAATCAATCATCATCTATCGAGTAAACTTAATTAACATTAAGGTAGCAAAATAAATTATAACATGTCGAGACGCATATATTTATAAAACAATTAATGTATATACTATTGTTTAATTTTTAAAATTATTATTTTTATTTGTATAAGTGTATTACGTTTATTTTTCAAACATTTTTCTTGGTGTATTTTTTTAAAATTTCCAAGATAAGGAAACTATGGAACTAGAATTTACCAAATAATTTTTAACACTCAAACGTTTTCTATGTACTTATCTCGTGACGTGTCGTTGTGGTCAACTAGTAACTATACGATAATTATTAATACCAATTTGTTTTTCTGTTTGTAAAAAGTAATTTGCAATTTAAAAATATACATACCGAAAAAATAATAATCGTCTTGACTGAATTTTGAATAAATGGACGTGGCAAACGGCTTATGCCCCAAAGCCGGATGTGGTAACTCCAACGACACATCGGTGGTCGTCGTATTTTCTGTGGTGAACTTAGATTTGTATCCGTCTGAATCCATCGTAACGTGTTGAACCTCTCTGCTTTTTGTAGTTTTTATCTTGTGGAATTTACTATTTTTACCGTAGTAGACGTCATTATTGGACGGCGGTACAGCCAAACGGTTATAGTATTCTACACAAACAATTAAATTACATTAGTAAAGTTATAAGTCGACTGATTAATGTCATTATCCCTGATAGCACAACGATTATTGCAGATCCCACTAAGGGTGTAGTGGGACGCCTATAGATAATTGCCAAACATCACGAAGATGATGGGAATTCCGGGGATTGCGTGGGACCATAATATATTATAATATGGTCCGAACTCGGGGCATTCGAAATAATATAGACTACCTTAGACCGTCCCAGACCATGTCAGGAACTTCCATCATCCTTGTGATGCTAGGCAATTATCAAAAGATATTATTATATTCAAAAATAAGTTTTTTTTTTAATTTATAGCTCATATAGATTTGTATGGGTTTTAGTATGTTTGTAAAATATTTAGTTTAAATAAAACCATAGCTTATAGTGCTAACAATAATTATTAATTACTTATAATATGGTTTTACCAAATATATTTTTAAAAAATGTAATATTATGTATTATTATGTACGTATATAAATATATCATATTTTAGTTTAAGAAAATTGTTACAAAAACAAGGGTAATTATAACGAAGCTGCATTTGTGCATTTTTTATAAATATTACAATGCGAAAAATGAGCTATTATAACATACATCATGTTAAAATGATTATGTAAGCAAAAACTATTCGGTCAAAATACACCTAAACCTTTTCGGCCACTTCAATTTAAGCAATAAAATATTTTGTAACCAATAATCTAAAAATATTCATATAAATGAATGATCGAGAAGAGAATCGGTTGTTATCATATTTTGGGTGAAAAGTACACTAGCCGAAAACGTTTAGGTCTATTTTGACAGAGGAATATGCCGCCCGATATATTATGCCGTTCGAAATGTTATGAAAATATTGTTAAACATGAGAAATGTAATGAATTGGATAATAATAATTCCATCCGCATTCCTAATTACTAATTAGTAATTAGTAATAAATATACAGTTGTATATTATGTGAAAAATGTATTTTTATTTTGACGAACATCTCAGTTTTAGATTTTTTCTATGAGTAAACTAGATGCAGACATTTGGAGCTATATATTATTATACCATATTTTATTATACATAAAACATTTTATATGCAATCACAGTGGAGTCCGAACATATTAAGAAGGGAATGGGGTCAGTGCTACAAAGATCTATTGGAGTTATTACAACAGTAGGAATTTCTTTTTGCAGAATTCTTGCTTAAATCAGTATTATACAACATCTTCAACTACCCAAAATCCACAAATAAAAAAGTAATAGCAGTTCATGTTTGAACTTTCAATTTATATTTTTTTTATATTGCTTAGGCTTTCTTATAATTATAACCTAAAATTATTTTATTTAATATTATTATTATTATTATTATTATTATTTTATTAAATTTATTTTATAATAAAAACAACAAATATTCTGTTACGCCGTATTAGTTTTTGATGACTTTAAAAAGACTTTCAGCCACTAGACGCCCTAATAGCATTGATATAACAACAAAGTTCATTATTAGCAACTAGAGACTGAGAACATTTTTTCGGTTTTCAAACAAACCCAAGCAAAGCTTATGTGTTCAATGTGAAGTATATATATTATATACATATACAAATTTAAGAGGACGCCATACCACACATTTCTAAGGAGCAAAGTATAGGCAATTTTTCGTAAAATCTTCGAACATGAACTATAATAATATATACTTACTAATACAGTAAAGGGGATTCTTTATTGATTACCATTTTTTTTGTTTTGTCAGACTACCACAGTAATTTCTATAGGATAAATTACAATTTGTTGTTCATCAAAACTGCTTTGCGCAGGCCAAGTATGTGAGGCCAGTATTTACTATTTACAGTAGATTAACCAAATTTTCACAATATACCTATAAAGAAGAACTTTATCTATACCGTAGCATTTTATTTTTATTAACAAATGAAAAAATAAATCTTTGCCAATAAATAATTTTGATTGTGTTCAGTTATCAAAAAACTAAAAACACTACAGCATAGATAAAGTTCTTCTCTATCCATTGTAAAAATGTCGGTTACTGTAAATACCACCCTCACATACTTGTCCCCCACAATACCATTTTTCGCGGATAAATTAAGGGTGTATAGCGTCCTCTTAAGATAACGATATAGGAATGACAGGGATCACTAACACTAAACTCGGTAATTTGAAAAATTGACATTATAGCGGTTGACGCATTTTGATTATCTCATTTACACACGTGTGTACATAGATATATTTTTAATTTCATTGTTCGTTGCCATTAAATATGCTATATGAGTTATGCGCCATAATTTTGGATGAATAAAGTTTTTGGCGCCGTACACGCCATGTTTCAAACCTATAGTTCCATTCCTAAACCCTAAAACCTAACCTACTAAGGTTAATATCAAAAAATAATTTACTCTTTGGTATTTTTAAAAAACATATTAAACAATAAAATGTTATTGAGAGAAACTATAAAACGGCAATTATTTTTCTGTATAAATTCTATAACTATTTGAGTTAATCACATTGTATAAGTTACCACAGCTGTTACTATCAACTACCACGTTATGGGCTCACCAATTTACTACTTGGACAGAACTGGCTTCTGGTGGATTACATTTTAAGCTATTTATAATATAGTATTATATGGATTATTTGCAATTTAGTCCCCTAGAAGTGCTTATTTAAAGTTTTGCGTGCAGTAAGTTCTTGAGTAAATTTATCATGACTTTCTAAATAACCTGTAATAATGAATCGAAGTTTACACCTATATAGGTACCTGGTCTGTAGTAGCGCGGATTGTATGGTAATACAGCAAATGGCACATCCTGGTCGCCGGTGTTGACTTCGGGCTCAACTAATACATTCTGGTCGTAGGTAAACTCAGAGCCTTCGTCATCTTCCCTGATGCTAGGAATCTCACGGCCGGCAAACCGTTGTTGATATATTTCACGATCCGGAACGCTTCGCATCTTGTTCCTTTGGTCCTCGATTATGCCGGCTAAGTGACCAATTATGTACTCTTTGGATTTTTCATCTAAAAAACATAAGAAATTAAATTATATGTATACTTAACTTAACTATAACGGTGAGTAAAATATTAGATTTTATTTAGCCCACATAATGCAATCTAATAAGAATTGGAAACTACCATAATTTGGTATTGTTTTATTTTAATTACATATATACATATGACCTACTAACAGTAAACGCCATACGATATAGTTTGTTATGCTTATCTGAGCAGATAGATTCATCATTCAGAGGTATACGAATGAAAATGATACTTCTATTCTAAGTCCCTGTTACATTTTATTTATTGAATTGCAACTATTTTGTTTCTTTTGATTCATTAATACCTATGACAACTTATAAAGTATATGATAAAAAACATACGTCGCGCTGTATATATTATATAAAACAGCCTACAATACCAAATAACCGCGGTTAGTACTTTAGAAGCGTTTTATCGCGCCTAAACGGATATACAAATAAAGATAGATAGAGTGCTCCCCCCTATGCAAAAGCCTTGTATAAGTAAACCGGACAACACATTTGATATTTGATCGACCTTGGAAAAAAAATGTTTAGTATCAAATCACAATAAAATGCTACCATAGCTTTTTCGCTCGGTTTCGCAATAACTGTATTGATTCTGTTAGGTTACAGTTGTGTACACAGCTGCGGATGCTAATGATATATATAGACAAATGAGTTGACGACCAGGATTTATAAGCATAGGGTTTTATCTCTCTCTCTCTCTCTTGAAAAAAACCTATATTTTAAACTTATGTTTTTTTAATATTACATTAAACTAAGTAGTACCGTTTTGTTCGTCAATTTAATGGTTTTGCATCAATACAGGAAACGTAAACGTAAAACGTTACACAGTGTAATGTAAAATAACGTGCAAAACATTTTTGTTAGTATTTTCAAAATATTTGTTTATACAGTATACTTATACCTAGACGCATATGTTAACACTAATAAATAATATCTGGTACCTGGTTTCATACATATATCGTTAAGGGGTCACCACGCGGCGCGTTTTTCGTTCCAAAAACTTTTTTACTAAAAAAAAAAAAAACTAAATAAATCAAATTTTGATAATACTTATTTTATTTATTTGAAAGAGGAAGACTTCCTTTGAGGAGCCTCCATCTTGGATTTGTAAAAATCAAACTCATATACATTGTAATACGGTTTAGAATATTATGTGAATATTACAAACCTTTAGTGTTAACTGTTTATCAATCATGGAATCTAACCAAAATTCGAAATGGTTACAAAATCCTATAAAAATTCCATGTGTTCAAACAAACAAAAAAAATGTTTTGAATTCGATCATTGAACGGAGCAATTTTATAACCAAAACAATTATAAATGTTATAATAAAAAAAGCATATGTAAACAGTTTTACTGTAAAACTAAAATAAATTCACCTGAAAATAATTTGATATGGTCGAAATTGTTTAGTTGTTTTTTGTATTTTGCCCATTTAATAAGCAACCACGTGCAGAACCAGTTTAGTACTTCATATACTTAACTCAAAGATAATGGATTTTTAGGAAGCTTATGGCTGGTTAAAATTTTAATGAATCAATAGATGTTTAGCGGTTTTTTAAACATAATTTAGAGGCTCGTGATTGGTCCATTAAATTTAAATTAACCACTGAATTTATTAAATTTGTGTACAACCCGGCATTAAACTACTAAAATAGAATAATTATTAATATTTTATTTTGTGTTAAGTTACAAAAACTCTAAATAGGTACTTGATCCGAGAGAAAGGGACGATAATGCTTTATTTCCTTTTAACTCTATCAATGACTAACTGACCTATACAGTATTACGATAAAACCATTAAAAACCCCCAATATTAAGAAACCAAAAGTGTCCACTTAATCATTAACGGAAGTTCACATAAATAATAAATGCATTTTAATTATATAATAAATGCGATGGTTAAAAAACGACCCGTAATTGTCGCGTGTCAATATTATATATATTTTTTTAATAAACATAATATACGTCAGCCTAAAATTAAACGAACATTTTTAGGTCAACTGAGAGCGAACAAAAAGTATAGTTGTAATAACTAGATAAATAGTTTAGTCAACTAAATGGTTAGTAAAGCAACATTTAGTTGGCATAACTTTATCTCTTGATTAGTGAACAGAAAACTGATTATTTTTACTTTTTTTTTTAACGAAAATAAGAAAATTTGTTATCAAATAATAATTTAAAATATATTTTTTAACATAATTTAAGTAAATGATATTTAATATCATTGTGTTGTTGTATTTATTTTCTATAAATATGCCAAAATATGTATTAAAAAAAAAAGACCTGCGTTTGAAATGAAAAAATATTATAAAAAAATAACAGTTGTGACTCAAATTAAACACACAAGTATTGCGCTACCAGAAAAATTATCTCGATATTGTTAATAAGTGTCGTTAGACGGGATTTACAGAAAATAAGTTAAAACAATAAAGTAAATAGAACACATTCTAGCAGAGACTTTTTTATTTGTACAGTAGCAAAAAACAATTATGTCGGCTAACTTCTTTGTTTATTGAAACGTGTAAGAAAAAGAAGGGTCTATGGAGATTCGAACCCATTTTATATCAGTTAATCTGTTAAATACTTTATACTTTTCCTGAAAAGCTTGGGCCTTGGCGTCTCTCAAATACTAAATAAATGTTATAATAATATAACATAATATAATTGATTATTGATCAATTTTATCAAACATTCAACTATGACATAAAGCAATTATATACATAATTATCACCATCGCCTACTGCGCAGCTGATTAAATTGTTGAACGGGGGCGCGGATATTTTAAGCTGCTAAATTGATTGATATACTTAAGGTTCTGTTCCGCCGTCCGCGATAAACTCTGACATACATATTATATCCCAACCGCGTTTCTGGCACATCCAAAATTATAACGATGTAATATATTTTAAATAAAAAATATAATATTATGTATAATATGAAAAACGAATGAATACTTGAAACACATTCCACGTGCCTTTTCTAAACTGCAAACAACACCCCTTGATGACTAAAATTTTAAATTTAAATTTTTTATTAAATTACTTCCTAATTAGACAATGAAATTACTGATCTTGGGCCTCGGCATTCATTCATTTGAAAAATGTTGAAAATTACATGTTCATCATTACCAATTCTACACTAAGATTGCTTTGAAATAAAATATTTCAGAGTACTTACATAGTTTTAGTTTGTTTAAAAAATGTGCTTTTTTTAACTTTTACTTTAAATCGAAATAATCACTTTGTTTAATATCACCTGCCGTTTCTAATTTCCATAAGTTAATTAATAACCAAGTGGGTACGAACGTGAACATATTATTACATTGTATAATGTCTACTACCCGTACCGTATGTAACCACAACGGTTCCCAAAACCATTTATGCAATACATATTTAATACATGCGTGACTAGCATTAGAATTTTACACCTAGTAATTATTATTTACGTGCGATATTGACTTATAGTAGTACAATATCTATTTCCACATCGGAGATTCTATAATATTTGCAATGACGCACACTATATTAGGATAATATAAAATAATTAAACGTGACACATTTAATTGTATTTATGCAACCTAATTATTTCTAATAAGTTTATTGGACATTACAGACAAGTGACAACTATTACAATAAACTTTGTATATAGTACCACAATAGGTATATATTTTACAATTGAGAAACAAAAATTAATATCGTACCTCTAAAATCAATTAGAAGTTAAATAACTTGTGCAAAAAGCTATAGTACTGAAGTTTAACAGTTGTTTTACATATTTAACACATGCCGATATGTTTTTTTCCCATTAGAAGAAAACCCTTGGGTAGGAGGACATTGGTACACAGATTTGAAAAGTAACATCAGTTCGTTCAATATGGTTCTGTTTTCAACGACACAGCTTACTGTAGTCTGTATAGTCACTTATACGTTAATTTAATCGACCATTTGTCAAAATTCGGTTTTATAAATTTAATTGTTTAAATATTATTCTATAACTGATATTTCTACTGTAACTGAGTAATAAATAATAATAGCCAAATGTATCCAAAACTAAAGACAATACAGGAACAAACTAAGAACATTTTTAAAATCAGGGTTAATTTAAAAATAGCTTGATCATTAGTTGAGAAGAAATGCATTAAATTAAAAATATGATGTTACAAAGTGAAAACAATACATAACAGTGCAAATCAGTACAGAATAGATTTTGGAAAAGCAATTATACCAACGTAGTTACCATCAAAAGTACAATAATTACTAAAAAAAATTGTAATGCTACATTACAAAATTTATAAAAACGATTACAAACATTGCAAAATATTTGATACATTTCAAAAATAACCTTTATAAATGAAATACCCTGGGAAATATACGCATAAATCTAAATATACCTGCCAAGGTTGTTGTTAGGGTAAAATTATTGATTTTTCATATGACGTCTATCAACGTACTGAACATCTCAACGTAAATACATATGCAAATAGCTACCATGATATTATGCAAAACGAATAAATAAAATATCTAATCAAAAATGTGTAGCGTGTAAACAACGTTCAAAATAAAAACAGTATTTATAAATTTTTTTTGTTTTTAGCATAAAAAAAGGGTAAAACCTTTTTGAATTTATTTATATGGTTTAATTACCGGGCTTTCATACCACGACTTAAGAGAAACTAAATAGTTGAAAAATCCCACATAGTTATTAGTTGGCTATTAAACAATGAAAATTGTTTGTTCAGTTAGAGCTGTATATAAGATTATCTAAACAATCAATCATTATTGAATACTAACAACTTTTAACCAAAAATAGTTTATTCATAATAGAAATTTAAACAGCTGAGTAAGTAATTTATTTTTTGGCCTCAGAGTGTCATTTTTATCGCAGTGTATACAGGATGTTTCAATTTTTGTATTTAGTGGACTAACTCGTTTATGTCCAAAGTTGACATTAGCCCTTTTAGACCCAAGCCACAGATATATTCCTCTTTTTGTTCACCGCAAATGTCGAAAATATTATTTTTATCCTTTTAACGTTTATCTGTGATATTGATTCAAAAATAAATTTAGTGCTGTGAAATAAAATAGTACCAAATATATAAATATTTTAAGTAAAAAAGTTATTTTTCTGCCAAAATATTCAACTTTTATATTATATATTTTAAGATTATAAAGATAATATAAATTATACCATATTTAATCATAAGCGGTTAAAAGTACAACCTTTTTATTGTTTGACATTATTTTTAACACTTTTAGGTACCTTTATAATTATTATGTTTGAATGGCGGTCATTCTTTTCCTCGAATTACCAAACATTTTTTCTTAAAAGATTTGAACAAACACTTTTTTCACAAAGTAAGAGTACCTCTAAGGTAGCATTTACAAAGATAATATTTTTACAGTCGCCATTTAGTATTTATTATTATTATTATTATACAAAATAATACAAAAATAAGTTATAATAGAAAAATACATTTTTTTGGTTATAAAAACCATAAAAATGCACAAGCCACAATGAAGTCAATAATACAACAAATCAGAAAAGCGTTATGCTATTGAAATCAATAGCAACCTTCAAATGCTTTTACACAAATTGAATTTATCTATAAATAACAACGAACACCAAAAATTACATATAGAATTAAATTGAATTTTAAAATTTGCTCGCCGTGGTTTGAATAATTTAAATATAAAAAAAACCGAAGTTTTTCTGAATTTATGTAAAAAACCGATTATTTGCATACGATAGTTTGCAGCAACTATACTCAAAATGTATGTACACTTTATTCTTTAGCTTCAGTATTGTTAAACTAACCTTACAATTTAATCAAAATTAGTCTACCTTATCGATTTTGAATTCTAGCCTACATTTTGTGTAGAGGGCGGATGATCGACCGCCAAAAGTAGTGTTAACAAAAAATAAATAAATAGGTACGATTGACCGGTATTAACAAAAAATTGTCAATGATAGATCGCCACGCTTTTGGGTTTCGTACGATAGAGATAAGTAGAATTTGGAAGCAAATAGTAATAATGGCGCCGCTAGTTCTTTGTGATTTTTAAACCAAACCAAAAATAATAACATGAGTCATCACAATTCACAAATTTTTACAAAAATTCAGCAGCTGCTTTTTGGGCGGTTTTGTTCTATTGCCTAACTCTATACAATCGGCCGTAGCAGTTCATATCGTTATAAGCTTTTATATAATAGGCCAGATTGTAATTATTAACAAAACATAAATACACGTAAAATATGTAAATTACAACATTTAAAAAACGATTTTTTAGTTTTTAGTAGAGTGTCCGATAGTGATTTTTAAGATAAAAGTGACAACTTCTATCCCAGCAGCTAATTTTTCGCACCACCCTAATACATGCCCATAATAATGTAAAAGCGAATAAATAATATTATCTAATAAGTAGTCTGATGCTTAGTTTTTTGACAACCTAAATATTATTTTTGTTTGCATACATGATTCATGAACAACAGTAAACAGTTGAACTATCCAATATGAAATTATTTTATGTACACAATGCCCACGCTTTTATATGTTGTACGGCAAATAAAAGTCATTAGGAAGGAAGAAAAACTGCCTATATCCACATCCGAACATATTTCCCAAGCTTAAGTATTAGGCAAATACATCGACTATGTAAACGCTAGCGCCTATGCTTGTAAATGGCAAACTGACATATGAATGGTTGGTTTAATTTTTAGTAAATGTGTACTTATGAGTTCGCCCCTCGGTAGGACTTAATTAATCGCCCTCGAGTTTCCCGGCAAGTATATTTTAAAGCACATTTGTCGGACTACCCATTCGCCAGACCAATAAATTGTATTTTTTTTTTTATTAACTTGTGTTGGATTTTGGTGAAGAGCATATTACCTATTACGTGCGATTTTTTTTGCCGTCGACACGTGTGTCGCACTATGCGTGGCAAATAATAATATAAACAAACAAACATATAGTACACAATATATAGGTCCCTGCCCCTTAATAAATGTTTATGTATATAACTATAACAATATTGCTATTAAGTACTAGTCGCACAAATTGGTCATGTTGTTCAATAATGTATGCAAGCACAACATATGTAGGGTTTTTAATTAAATTGGAACAAAACTATACTTAAACATGTGTTATTTTTGTTTAGGAAATTACACGTATAAAACAAACATAATATGTTTATTTGTGTGTTTTGGGTTTTAGCACTACTGTAACATAACAGCTATACTTGAGTTTTTAAAAACGTTTAATTATTAAAGGGTGTATCTAAAAACTATATTTTTGTTAAAATTCGATCTTTTATACTTATACTTATTTTATTTCACAATCGAATCCATTTCATTACGTCACCGGGATAGTTTCTTATCACTAATTGTTAGGACCATGAGTACTCTCTTGAAGTAGTAATAACTTTCGTTCACCGTGAAGACCTCAGCTAGATTTCAAAACAGTTCCCATAGCTTGATAATTGATAGTCGCATATCGTTTTTATTTATATGTATAACTAATAATTTATTTTTGTCCTTTTGGGGAAAATATTTCATACTCAAAAACCAATATCGGTTCTTTAAACAACAGTTTCACTCTTAACGTGTACGGTGTAGAGTGTAGAGCCATTTCATTGACTTACCTCATGTAATACCCATTCTCTGGATGAATACATAAGTACCGAGAGCAAAAGGCTTATAGTATAATATCACACAAATAGTCATGTAAATGGCAGATTATATGTTATTACGATAACAAGCAAGTACCTAATGTAATTATAACACCGTCAGGGGCCAAACGCATCTCGGGTGAATCAATAAAAAAAAGCTGATGTTGCTTAAAAACAACTTCAAGGCTATTAAAGGATACAACAGCGATGAGAGCCACCAAATAAATAAAAACCAAAAAATCGTACCGTAACGGTTGCTTCTGTAATATTCGCAAATATTGGTACGTTTGTGATTTATAACTTGTGTTTTAAAACAGAACAACTGAAACATAATACAACCATATCGAAACCTGCGGTCTTATCGAACAATACGAGAAGTCCCAAATCGATTGATTTATATATTTTTATAATATCATTTACGCAACATATTGCGGTAAAAACCCCTTTACAATTCGCAGATTTGCAACAATATGGCTTCATAACGATCGACAAAAAACGCTAACAACTAGAAGGTATAACAAAAAAAGGACAAGTCGGTACTTCAGAAAGGAAAATCACTGACTTATTGGACGGTACATACGTCCAATTTAACTTTGAATTTTGAAAATGTGTGTTTTTAGTTTTCCATAAGAATAGAAACGATCCAGTATTTTATTCTGGTATTATATTACATGCACAAGGGGGTGTTTAACGACAACTGGGTAAGGAAGGAAAATTGTATCAATCATGCCCCCCTCCGGAAATCAAAGCTAAACAGGTGTCCCCCTCTCCTTGCCGGGACACGCACACGACAACAAGTGGTAGTCCGACGACGGTTTATGTCTTACAACAATAGTGTACATGTATTTATCGCGCGGCCGGGCTATCCATTCCCATATGCTACACTTACCGTCCAACGGTATGGCCGCTTCCACGACCCTGCAATCGGCCAACAACAATGATAGGCATCCGACGAGTAAGGCGAGTGGTACCGCGCAACGCAACGGCGTCGGCCGCCGTGATGCGAAAAACAACAATAACAATGACATAGCGTACGTGTAAGCGTACAACAACCGTCAGCGGACGGCGCGCATCTGTTACTGTAATATTGTCGTTACACTGTGTACGACACTCGGGCGCGCGCCCGTGTCTATGTGTATGTGGCAGTGAGGCGTTGGCGGTGAGGCGCTGTTGCGGGTGCTATGACGTGCGAGAAACTCGGGCGCGCGCACGGACTGCCCCGGCGAAGCCGTCAGAATCGATAAAAAGTTGCGGGCAACCCTCGCTCGTCCCACGATTTATCGCCGTCGCCGACACGCCAAGATGCCCATTACGACGGTGGTTCAACTTATACACCTGAAATACGCGTATCAATTGATTAATATGAAGGTCGTTCAGTTTTGATAGCTGCCTAGCCATCATATCAGCCCCGCGATCGCCTGACCGATTACAACGCGAACCTCTTAATTATTGCTATGCGACAAAAACTGTAAGACCAAACATGCAGGCCATTAAGAATGAATCCCAATCCGTTTACATTGAACATTTACTGCGATACTTTTGACCTTTTACCTTGGTTCAGGGTCAAATGTTTTATTCATTTGATACCGTCGCAGTAAAAACGGCACCAAAACGAAAAAAGTAATGCTACAAGAATAATTGTCAGTACTATCTCGAGAAATGTTCAAACTTTTTATTTTTTTGCTAAGATAGTGAAAAAAAAAGTGTCGAAAACATATTTCAATTTATACTGAATATAATGTACCATTACATGGAACTGCAACAGCCAACAACAACAAATGTTCAAAACATTTGTATTTTAATATGTAATAAACAGGAAATAAATTATTATATAGTAATCGGATAGTTTATCCAATTTGAAATACCATTCAAAGCTGTTTTCTGTCATATAAATTAAATTAATTAGCTGCATAAACGCTATATTACATTAACATCTGTACCTAGGTCCTATAGGGCTATACGCAAAGCCTAATAATAATAAAAAATACAAGTTATACATAGTTAAAACTACATTTTTAAAACTTTTTCATCGAAATTTAATTGTAACGTTTTTAAAATCGTTCGTTTCGACTAAAACCCTACCAGCATCATACTAGCCTGGCTCTTCGCAACTTATTATTTATCGTATCTGTATATTTTGTAATTCACCCTTCTTCCGTCTTCGGTCTTTCGACTATCATCAATTAGGCGTCTATTAAGATGTCAGCAAAGATCCTGTACAGTATAGTATTTTCTGTTTTTCAATATATTATTTCCTATAAACATAATAATCAATTGAACCTCCTCAGTATTTTACATAATGTAGTAGCAACGCAATATTGATCATTAAATCTATTGGAAAACTGAATATTTTTCACGAAACATTTATTCGACATCAGCTGTTACCGATCGATTAGACTACCCAAACTAACGACACTGACTTTTATTTAATAAACATTTTATAACAATTATTATCATACAGAACTGTGAGAACAAATTAGTCTTTGGATTTATTGCGCAAAAATAGAGTTGACAGTTGCTATAGTTAATAGCTTCAATTAGGTGTCGAGAAGACAGATTTTAACTAATTATGTAGGTCTGGAAGTCCGCCAAGACGTCTGAGATAGTACGCTGTTACACGATAGTAATTACTTTGTTAATTGTTAATTCGCGAAAATATTCTTAATTTGATGGCCTGTACGGTTCTATTACTTGTTGCGTTGTTATTGTTTTCATAAACTCGTACCACCCTTATTTAGTTCCCATGTTACTAACCCCGTACGAGAGAATGGAGGATATAAATTCCGAATAATAACAACAGATTGAAGGCCAAAACGTTTGGGCGATTATGAATCGCGTCGAAATAATTAGAGAAACATTAAATTGCGCAGGGTTTTATCTCTCAAAAAGGAGGGTAAATTGTTATCTTCGATGCCATTTTTCATTGAAATTATTATATGGTATATACATTGCGATATCCACGATTGTAATGTGTTAGACGGTATTAAGTATAATTAAGATTTAATATTGTAAATTTAATTGTTCTACAATTACAAACAGTTGATATAAAAACATGGATAAGTTAATGTACCATCCTTGACCATATTGTACATATTTTTGGCTTGGCACAATAAATTAAGGTTAGTTTTACAAAAACCAATATTGGTTTATTTGATCTGTCAGCATTTTTTTTTTATTCAACAGAATAATTTACAATGTGTATAGAATAGCTGGTAAATAAGATAATTATATATTAGACACTAAACATAACGATAAAAATAAACATAACGACATGAAAGAAGTGGGCGTTCAGCCTGTTCAAATCCCAATAGTTCCAAATTAGTACAAAAAAAAACTTCAGTACAAATAGTTTTAAATTCATTTTCGTCTAAATAATAATATTTTACTTTCTTGAAATCGGCGTTTAATATTTTACTTTCATGTACATATTATTTTGTTGTTTATATGTTGCACCATTAACCCAATCAGACTTTTCTGTTTAACGCAAATACTCACAATACTGCACATATGCTCGAAGAGTTTATCGACTGAGCGAATGCAACAACATAGCTGTTGTCGATATGAGTTACTCTTCTTTCTTGTTACGCCACTAGCGGCCTTAGCCCGCTCACTCATGGCCGTCAAACATATAAACTCGAAGCTCATGCGCGATACTATTACCGATCAAGCGATGTAGCCATGGCTCACTTAAAGCGGCTCAGCACTGACCGGACTATGCGATATGCGGAGCAATAAGCTTTCCCTACCGATTCCAGTCCATCCATGGAGTGACCGTTCGGGGCTCGTCAAGCCAACAAAGCTGGTCTATTGTAATCGTACGATGACACACTGTGGTGAAGATGCTGTAAATCAATTTTACAAATTACTCCGGAAGTTATCTTGAGGAGGGTTGTGTTATTCTTCCGCTAGGTTATTTTGAGCCCCAGTTTTTTTAGCGTTGCCTGTCAATAAAATACCTGCCTAATCAATTTAACGTAAGACTCTTATTTTCTCGAAAAGTATTTAAAATGTTATAGTTTTTATTTTTGAAAACATTTTTATTTATATTATTTTATAACATTAGAATAATTACTAAATATTTACTTTTTTTGAGTATTTTCCAGAGATCTATCAACTTTTTGAAACTTAATGTATATATTTCACTGCATTTTTTGAAATATACTTATAAAAATATAATTTGCTAAAAACTATGACTGGTCGATAACCAGTTTTGGTTTATTACTTTTAAAGTTATTCAAGATTAAAATTTGACACACTACCTTACTTCCTAAGTTTTAAACTTAAGTAACTTTAAAAGTAATTATTCAAAACTAGTTACCGTCCGACCAATGAAAATGTTCAACAAATTACAATTTGTAAAATATACAATCAAAAATGTAAGTTTTTTATTGTTAAATTTTAAATTAAAAATACTTTTAAATAACAAATAGGTTTGCCAAATATCATGAATTTGATTAAACTAGCTTATCCTGTAATGAGTTATGTGTTTTAATTTATGTGCTGTCGGGCGTGAGTAAACTGTTTAGCTATGAATTCCATGTTTTTGTGTCTAGACCAGTGATTTTATATTTTCATCCACTGAACCCACATTCACAAAGGATACGGGGAAAAACAAAAACAAATTTGTGCTTTATCAAACTTTTAAACTTCATTTTTTTTTTTTTTTTTTGAACCCACGGCCAAAAAAGAAATAAAATTATCCATATTGAAGGAAAGGATTCCAATATTTGTTTTGATTAGGAACTTATTTAAAAACTTGAAACAAATTATAACAAAATTATTAAGTGCTACAGTTGAAACTTACAGTAACATTTTATATTTAGGATATTTTTCTCAATTTTGATAGAACGACTGTGGTAGAAGTAAGAACTTTTTTTTTAAAAAATGCACCTTCCATTAATGGGTAGATTTTAAAACATTTTTTTAACGTCATAAAAATACTATCCTTTTAGCTTCACATTAAAACTAAAATATTTTTTGAGTATTTAAAATACTCTCTTTAAACACACCACAAATGTATTTTAAATACCAAATACAACGATGTATTTCAAATTCTTTGTACGAAAATGTACAACAATGTCCATTTTTGTGTACCTATTATATTCATCTCCCGCAATATAACCGCCGTTCTGTAATTTAATTATTATGTGCTTCATTATAACTTCATTAGTGTCTTTCATCTTTTATTTTCAATTTAAAGCATGTAGTCATAGATTGAATGCTGTGAGCTTATACAGTACTGTGTATTTCTAAACATAATTTTATTTCCCAAGTCATCACATTAAATCTGTTGTCTTTACTCAACAAAAATATTATTACTTAGCGATGTAACCATGGTTACATCAGTCTCTTCCTATATGTATTCCCGTGTGGTCGTTATGAACACAACTCGCCTTCCGAGCTTTTTTTTTTAATGACATTGATTACAACTCGGCATCCGGCACATAAAAGACGTATACTCAGTACTCAAGGGATGGCGTCGGTTATTGACACGCACATAGACTGGCTCCGGCCGTCGCTTTATATTAGGTTATTAAAGAAAACTAAAATAACACGCGTGTATGCTATAACTTATAAGTTGTGCAGTATACATATAAGGTACATACAAAAAAAAAAAAAAGTTTTGAATAGTATTATCAAAATAAGTTGTCGGTATTCTATATCCTAAATTGTCTCACACGGAAAAAAATATATAGTTGGATCTAGTATAATAATGGTTGATATACAATTAGGTCAATTAAATGTGAAGTTAATTTAGTTAAACATTTAGTTTGCCTAACTAATTTATTCAGTCATTCAAACAGTAATTTTATAGTGTCCCAATCTTAAATATATAGTTTTTTCTGAGAATCTTTAATTATTGTTAAAGAACTTTTAGTTAAATCAAAAGTAATAGTTAATTAAAACCCAATAATTGAAAAAACAAATTACTTAATGTTTAAAATAATATCAAAGGTGAAATTAAAAAAATATATTATATACACTATTCGCACTATAACAAAAAAGTTTCAACGTGTCGTAAATTTAAGAAGAAAAAAAATCTGTACGTTTTTTGGTATTTTTTTTATTTAGAAGAGGAGTGTCATTTGGAATACCTTTCAGGTATGAGTTTTAAACTATGGGGTTGCTACATGAAAAAATCGGTTGAGGGGTTAAAAAAATATCATTGGTCCAAACACAATAAAAGTACATCATTGTAATTTGTAAAAGCAATACCTTCTCAGCTCTGCATCGATGCTAAAAAATAAACTCGCAATTACCTATAAATTGTTGAAAAAATATGTAAACATAATAATTGTATATTATGTATATTTTTCTTTTTGTCAATACGTGTATAATAAATAGATCAGTATAGATCAAAAGTATTTAACTGACTTATATTATACATTTTGAGTATAATTGGTAAATATTTTAAATATTTGTAGGGTTTAATAACTATTTATTTTAATTTAATAATTATTTAAATAAATGCAAAATCAAATAAAATACTAATTACTAACTGTTATAGTAGACACTAGTCACATATAGCTTGTTTTATTTGCAATTATCACATAACAGTTGAATAAAAATTATTCGCTTCTAACTATACAAAAATCATTTTGGATTACAATTTATATCTTGTCTTAGTTTTTACATTGAGAAAACTACAGATATTGGGCTTAATTTTTAAACAATTTTTTTCACTTATAGATCGAATATTATCTGCATGGTTTGCATCTACTTATTTTTACATATCTTATGCTATATTTTGTATGTCTTAATATTGTTAAACAGAATTTATGTTTGTAGACTTAAATCGACTACAAGACTTCAACTATAGTAGTCATTATAAAAGTCAATTGTAATAATTTAGAAGGAAAATATTTATTTAATTAAACTGTCCAGTACCAGTATACTTAAAGTAAAGCTTTCGTACGCAGCTGTGATCGTAAAATTTTGTTTTTGGTATTAGTTGATTTAAGTGGTTTTTTCTTTGTACGAGTTCAGAATTTGAGAATGGTCATTATTCCAAAATGTAGCAAGGTGTCTGTATAGTATTTTTAAACTTGTTTTCTGCCCATGGCTAAACTAACTAATAATCAAACTTATTTGCATAATTGTTATTAATTTTTTTTATATAATCGAGTTAAATTGCGTAAGTACATACTAATACTAACGCGATTAAACAATTAGTATGTATCTACTAATTACTAATAGTAAGACATTCAAATGGTATTGAGAACTCCAGGGTTCAAACCAATATAATTTAATGAATAATAAATACATTATAAATTTAGTTTTATTAAGAAAAACGTATAAAAAACAACCATGATGCTAGATCGTGTCTACAGAGAAACATTAATTTAAATGGTTTTCAGTGAGGGTATTAATATAAGACAGTCTTTTAACAGTTAATAAGTTCCAGAAGTGATACCTTAATACTGATTGAAAACATAATATTATGTCCATTTTCAAATCGCAGCGTAGCGGCTCATTGATATTCAAGAATAATCTTAAGAGGCCATACTACTTATTAAGGCGTTGGGTATAGGCAATTTTTTGTTAAACTATAATCGGAACTAAATTAATTTTTGATATTTATTATGATAATATTGAGGATATTTTATTGTGAATTTTTATATCAGTCTTTTTAATAATAATATTTTTTTTACAAAAAAACCTCGTTTACCCAAAAATTCAGAAAAAAATATTTTCTTAGCTTTTTGAAAAGACGGTTACTTAAACTGTGCCACGTCCCCTTAGAAGAGCTTATTAAAGTAGGCTGTATGTACCTAGTTTTTTTACTTTTTAATTACACTGCTTAGTCCTTAACTAAAAACTAACGGCTAAGCCCTTAACGCCAAAATTCGTTTGCGATATATTTTGTGTCATAAAAAAAAAATCAGCAGCGGTGTTCCTTGAAGTATTTTGCCCCTTAATAATATATTATGTGTTGCAAAACTAAAGTGTATATAATATATTACAATGTCTATATTATACACTAAACAACAAACGTGTATGGGTAATAAATAATAATTGTACCATAAAGAAAATAATTTAGCATACAAAACGTAATTATGTACGCACTGCGCATGGTTTCCTACACTGTTTCTGAACCTGTTTTCTCTGACCGTACCCTTATCATTAATTTTGCTTGGTTGATGGTTCGAATTGCAACTTCGTAAACACAAGACACTAAACATATTTAATTTAGTTGTTTGTGTGCGAGATTTAGCAATTACTAGGTGTAATTATTAATTTTATATAGCTAGAATGGTGCCACCAACCCCTTGTCAGAGAACCTCACCGCCTACTGCAACACCTAATTTACAAAGTGTGACTCGTGACAGAGAGAAATATTTGGAAGATCACAATTTTCCATTTTGTGAAGTTGCTACCAAGTTTGAAAAACTAGCAAAAATCGGCCAAGGCACATTCGGGTACATACATAGTTGATGGTTAATTTAACCGTCGTTATTGACAGACTAACATTTTACAATAAGCTATAACCCTAAATCACAAATAGGATAACGTAAGATGGACAACGGGTTTAGCTACTACGCTTTTGTATCTTTCTTTTTCAAGGCTGTGCTTATTTTACAATTTTAAACAGATATACATCTGTTTAATGAATTCCAAAAACTTTCGGAGAAAAATGTCATGGTTAAGAAAATCTTTTTTTTTAATCATGTGCTCCAAAATATTCAGTGTACGACGTATGCCCTACAATCTAAAATATGATGAAACAAATTGTTGATGATTTTTAACAGTGCTTTTTGATGATAGCATAAACAAGGGGCTTATTATATAGAATTAAATGTTTAAATAAACCCTTAATCACAAAAATAATTCTCTATAGCGTTAAGGTATTTCGACAGCAATCTTACTATCATCATGCGCTGATAATGATAACATAGCTGCCGAAATACGGATATGTTATTAAGAATTATTTTTGTAGTTGAGGGTTTATTTAAATACACAAGTGTTGCTTAAGTTTTTTCTAAATTAAGATGTTTATCAACTAGCAAGTTTTAATAATGATTAGGTGCCTATAAAAAATGTTTTTAAAAATTATTAGGTGCCTTAATTGTATACTTCATAAAATACTTTTCTTTCCCTCAATTTTTATTTTCTCTGTTAAATAGATATTTTAATGTCAAGCGTAGCATTAACATGTACAATTTTTCACTTTGCTGTATTCACACATGTTACTCACGGATGCGTTGGCGCAACAGAAAGTAACGCATGTTAGTTTCTTCGCTAGTATTTTCTCTTTTGGGACATAGTTTATCTGTGGACAACTGATAATTTATTTTACATATACAGTTGATCCGTATGTATGCATAACAATCGAATTAAGAAGTACATAGTGAGTTTAAGCTCAGGCAATATTTGGCATTTAATAAACTTTTTAGATAGCAATAACCTACATGTTAAAATGCTTATAAAGAAAACGTGAATTATCGGCTAAAAGTAGTACTAGCCAACAATTTTTTATGAAAATTACCTTGTATTCATAATTTTATAACCAATAGTTATTTTTCAAAATTAGTTATTAAATAATAACTATTTTTTTTTATTTTACCGGATTTCAAAATTTGTTCAAATATATATGTCTGAGTTTGCCAGAATTATGCGAAAAGTGCAATAATATAATATTTTTGGATTGATTAGTTTTGGTTGATTAATACTGTTATAATGCTTCATTGCCAAGTTTGTCGAAATATTATATATTAGTTTTCCGTTAATATAAATTTGATTATTTTAATAAATATAATGCAACAAATAGTAATAATATTATATTAGTTCTATGAACTATATAATATATTATTAAATATTAAAATAATTAAATTTGAATCACAAATAATTAATTACATGATATTAATTATTTGTTTAATATACTGATGATGGATAATAAGTTAATCGTTTATTATTCATTAACAGTAATAGCATAAACAAACTCTGATATGTTCTCATATTATTAAAAATATAACCACGTTCATCACCAGTCCGATATTGGCCACCAACTAACTAAAATATGTCTATTATAATTTATATAAAAAAAAAGGATTAAGTAAAGAATACATAAAAATATGATAAGAGATAACAGTGCAAAAACTGACCTATTAGTTGTCAATATTATAAATAGGCCCTTTTAAGCATGACATGCAGTACATTTTACAATTTTAAAATACATTTTATTTATATATGAGTATTATATTTGTGTAATACTTTCAGAGAGGTGTTCAAAGCCAGAGATAAAAAAAATCTTAAGAGAATGGTCGCTATGAAAAAAATTCTAATGGAGAACGAAAAAGAAGGAGTAAGTTTTAAAAGAAATGTTATTTGTTTGTGCTTAATTTTATATATTAAAAAAAAAAATGTTTAAATTAAATAAAATTTAAATCAATTTTTTAAAAAAAATTTCTCACTAACATTTACGTTTTAATCAAAATCTTTAACTTTTTATAAGTAAAATATTATGTAAATTATACTTAGGACTTATGACTATTCTTTAATAGTTAAATATATTTTTATTTTTTATTATTAAATTCTTCGTTTGAAATTGATACCATAATTTGTTAATTAAGGACATTAACTAACTAACTCTAAGGAAATTGTACAAATTGATACTAGAAAATATTATGTAATGTAATCATGTCTTTTATTTATTTTTGTAAAATTAATAAATTTTTAAATGTACATAATATGTTTTACATTGTTATTTTAATTTTTATTTCAGTTTCCAATAACAGCCTTACGAGAAATAAGAATATTACAGCTGTTAAAACATGATAATGTAGTAAATTTATTAGAAATATGTCAAACGAGAGGTAAATAAATAATAATTTATAAAAAATGTGCTTCTGAATTAGACATTTTAAAATGAATATAAATATAACTAAAATATTAGTTTGATACTTTTGGCAACTATTGTTATAAATTGGACAAAGTATCAAACTTGGTCGTAGAGATTTAAATCCCAAAACAAAGGATTTCAAATTTTTGTCAAGCCCGGGCCTACTAAAGAAAATGGAATTTGTAATTTTGATTTTATTCATCAGCTTGACCCCTTTGTTTATTATTATAAGCAGGCATTAGAAAATATATTATTTACAACAAAATAATAATGATCATCAAAATGTGTGACAATTTAATATGCAAATTTAATTGGTGTACATCGGTTTTTCTATACTTCTTTAGTTTTTTAGTAATGTATTAAAAAAAAAGTAACTATAAAGTTAGTTTATCTTTTTAATATAAAAATAATACATTTTTTACGAAATAAAACCATAACGTTTCCTATTAGTTTAAAACACATTTTAAACAAATGACTAATTCAACTATTTATGTGTGCATTGCACAAAGCCTATTTATATACTAATAATAAAACATATGTTTAACTTTTAAACTATTACAGCTAATCAATTCAACCGTTACCGATCAACATTCTATTTAGTATTTGAATTTTGTGAACATGATCTGGCTGGATTGTTATCTAATACTAAAGTAAAGTTCAGCCTAGGTGAAATTAAGCAAGTAATTCAACAGATGCTCAATGGCCTTTACTACATCCATAGTAATAAGGTAAATATACTTAGGACTGACCTTATGTGTAAGTTGGTGGAGTCTTAAACCATGACCGTGTATCAGATCTTACACCGTGATATGAAAGCAGCAAATGTCCTGATTACAAAAACTGGAACTTTGAAGTTAGCTGATTTTGGCCTTGCACGAGCATTCAGTGCACAAAAAAATGGCCAACCTAATAGGTAAATTCATGCTTGTTTATTTGTATTGTTTATTATTAGAGAACTGATAATGACCTTAAAATTATCCTAAAATCCTTATAAAATGACCATAAAACAATGGAAAGAAGAATAGGTAATGAACATTTTTACAAAAAAAATATGTATATTGTTTTCAAAAAAAAGGATGTTACATATCTAAATATTAAATAAAGTATTTTTTAACTAATTAATATCCATTTAAAGATGAATAAAAATAAAACATTATTTAGTAATGTTAATAAAAAATCAAAATGTGCAAAATAACATAAAAAAATATCTAAAATTGGCATTAACAAGTAAAAATTGGTATCAATTCCTGATATTGTAAAATAAAAACATACTAAACTAAATGTTTTAAAATACATTTTTTTCACTTTGGGTATTGTGCTAGCCTTTAAGAAAAAAAATGTAATTGCTTGTTATGCTTGTTTTTGTGTGTTAAAAAAATCCTTTAGCATACTGAATTAAAATTATATTTCCATCAACTGATATTGGAAATTAAGGAAGATTACTTCTTGAGATTGTGCTTTAGTATGTCCGAATTCTTCTTCTTTTTTTCTAATGGCTAAGCCTTGTCATATCGAAAAAAAAGACTTCCACTCTTCTCACTTAAATGCCAGTTTTCATATCTGAATACCCGTTGCATCCAGCCATTTCAATCATCTGTCTTATGAATGTCTTCCTCTTCCTTTGCATCCATTGCATCCAAAATGTTGGAAGGGGTTATGTCTTATTAAGTGTCCCATAAGTTTTCTGCTTCTTGATCTAATGATGGATAGCAATACTCTTTTCTCCCCTACTATTTGGAAAATTTCTTCATTGCTCTTCTTTTCAGTCTAACTAATACAAAGTAATCTTCTTCAGGTCCACATTTCCATTGCTCCTATTTTTTTTTATCTTGTACTGTTAAGGTCCAGGTTTCACAACCATACAATAAAATATTCCATACGTAGCTTTTGGCAAAATTTTTTCTGGTCTAAAGACTAAGATTTTATGTTTGTGAGCAGTTGTCTTTTTTATGTGAAAGCTCTCTTTGTCATGACTATTTGTTGTCTTATTTATACCGAATATCTATACATGTCACTGTTTAGTGTACTTCCTAAATATTTTTACTGCTGTACCTGATCAATTGATTGTTATCTAATTGTATGTTGACGATAGGGACTCTGCTCTCTTTACTTACTACTATTTGTTTTCTTTATACTGATCTTCATAAAGTATTGTTTTAGTATTTCATTAAATGTAGCCAGTGATTGTTGCATGTCTTTCGCTGTCTCTGTTACCATGGCCATGTCATCAGCAAATCTTCTACAATGGATTACCTTTCCATTTATTTTTACACCTTAAGCTTTTACTTTAAGTTCTTGAACAACTTCTTCTATGTGCGAATTAGGTTTTATTTTATACCCAGAAAAATAGCATGTTTTTGCCTGTTATTTAAAAAAAAAAATGACTTACCTCTATAAAAACTAAGTTTTTAATTTTTTTACAATAAAAAGATTGTTTTACAATTGAACATAATCAGTGGTTTCACCTATTTACTATTAAAACAATTACCAAACATATTAACAAATTCAAAATATATAAGGCTAGGCACAATATTTTTAATATTATAATTTATTCTGTTTTGTTTAGATACACTAACCGAGTAGTCACATTATGGTATCGTCCTCCAGAATTGCTACTTGGTGATCGTAATTATGGTCCGCCCGTGGACCTGTGGGGAGCCGGTTGTATAATGGCTGAAATGTGGACACGAAGTCCGATCATGCAAGGAAATTCAGAACAACAACAATTAACATTAATATCTCAACTATGCGGGTCGATAACGCCTGAAGTGTGGCCCAAAGTTGAATCATTAGATTTATATAATCAATTAGAGTTAGTGAAAGGTCAAAAACGAAAGGTTAGTAGCAGTTAAATTTTAATCAATTTATTTGTTTATAAATTTACTTATTTTTCTAAATTTTAAAGGTTAAAGAGCGACTGAAACCATATGTACGGGACCCAATGGGCTGTGACTTATTAGACAAATTACTAGTGTTGGATCCAGCCAAAAGATTTGATGCTGATTCAGCTTTGAATCATGATTTCTTCTGGACAGATCCAATGCCTTGTGACCTATCCAAAATGTTGTCACAACAGACTCAAAGTAATTTTGAATATTTAGCACCTCGTCGACTAAATAATCATCAGTCGTCAGCTATGAGACCTGCTTCAGCTGTTGCTAACCAAAGTGCATCTACTTCAACTACTTCAGGGTTTCACGAACGAGTTTTCTAGCGCAAGTGACCGGCAGCTTATGCGGCCACTTCGAAAACTAAGAAATATAAACAGTAATTCAATTATTACAATTATAAGGGTTTATAACAAATATTAATTTCTTATACATATTTTTTATATATAGTATGTTGTTAAGATTTACCTAGAGGGTAACTTTTGTTTGTATTGTAAATAAACTGACTTTATGATATATTATGTAAAAACGTTGATCCATGTTTTTGAAACAACATTAATTGACCAGTGAACATAACTTGTTTGTACAAAGAATTTTAAGTTTTTAAATTCAATATTGTAAAAAAACTAAATAATTATGTCACTTGTCAACATTTACTAATTGGCGGTAATTCACTTGACCATTGATATCCTAATGTTTCTCTTGTGACTGATCAATTGTAATAATTATTGACTAGTGACATTATAAGTACTAAACTAAACTCGTATTATCATTTAAGGATAAACCTTGTTTGCTGATTTATTGTCTAAATGTTAATTTGTAAACTTGTTAAAACTATATGAAGATATTCATTTGCAACGTGTAAGTTAAATTAAATTTATTAAAATAGGTATTAAATATTGTTGAAAAATAAATTTTGTTTAACATTTATTTATTTTGTAATTTTATATTCACTTAAAAATTAAAGTAATGTGTTATAATAAAACATAATTATGTTATGTATTTGTATACATTGGTGTAATCTGGGGTCTTGTTTAGTACCTGGAATGCACAAACTCCTAAATTGTAAAAATTGAGTTGTATAAAGGGGCTTTATAATATTGTCAGGGCTTAAGCGAACCACCATTTTTGTCCAAACAATTGCTCATTTGTTGATGTTTAGGCTAGATTGAATAAATTTAATTTTATATAGTATTTAGACGCCAAACAGCAGCTCTTTGAAAAAAATCTTGTACTATTACCTATTATAAGTACTCGACAGGCGACAGCCAATAAAACAATTGGTTTTTTTAATAATTGTGGATGATTAAGGTTATTTTAAGTCTGAAGACATTGTGATTATTTTTTGAGAAAATAAAAGTAGATATAGATAGGCATTTATTGTTATTTTGTTAACGAGTTCTATAATATTAACAGATTTAAGTAATATGTAATCTTCAAACTATTCAAATTACCATAATAATTAGGATGGTTTTAAACGAGATGACTACAAAAATAAACATTGTGGTTATGCTCGCGAAATAGTATTACACCAGAATGCAGAAATACCTAATTTTATTGATCTTTATATTATTAAGAGGGAGTCATACCTTCAAAAAATAATGATAAAAACGTGTTTACACTTTATGAAAATGCGAAAGTTCATAGAAGAAAAATATTGTTACCGTTCAAAACAGAACTTAAACTAGGTTCTCTCGTCGGTATTTTTAGAAAAATGAAATTTTACCTTAAACGAGCATTTAAAAAAAGTAAAAACATGTCAGTATTAAAATATGAATTGTGATTGATGGGTAAATAATATCAACAGCCGACGAGAAATCTAGATTAAGTTCTCACTATTTTGTAAAAAAAAAATGTTTATGATTATTATTTAGCCAATAATAGAAAATGTGGGTATAGCTGTTTCGATGAGAAACAATTTTTAAATCGCTGTCGAGGATGCTGTGATAGTTTCTAAAACAAATGAACTGCCAAAAAGAGTTCTAATTACTGGATTGTTAATTACACATCACAGTTTAACCGTTAAATTAAGATTTTTCAAAAATTGTTTATACCTAAATTCTTAATAAATATGAGGTATCACGTCCTCTTAAGAATTTTAATATAACTAGTAAAGAAATAAATATTTAAACCCTTAACCATAAAAATAATACACTCTATAACTTATAAGCATAGTGTCCATAAGGTGGTTAACCTTTTTTCTAGTTTAATATAACTCTTCACCCAGTTTACCGCACGTCTTCCATTGATACATATTACAATATTATAAAAATGTGTTGCGTCGATTTTAGCCTTTAGTCCCTTTATGTGTATCATGTGCGTATCAATATTATGTGTATATACCACATAAATTACTATAGCAAGTGGGTGTTAAACACATTCAATTATAATTATATTGAACAATGCTTATGGCGTTTAGAATATGTCCCTTGTTCTGAGTATTTATATAAATAAAATATCTATCTGTGTATATTTTTGAATTATATATAAAAACAATAATATCTCTTGCCATCATTTTGTATAAGGTTAGATTATTTTACATAGAAATAATGAAAACTAAAATAATCATTTTTATTGTACTGTTGTATATATTATACTGAATAGCATAATAATAATAATTTCTGCAATTGCTTATCCTTTTTTTTTTGTTCACAGTCAGTTATTGACCAAATGACCATAACATGAATTCCACTTAATCATGTAGATGATCTACTAACTTAATTTACAATCTCTAAGCCACTTCTTCGGCAATAATTTAAAACTCATTATTTTATAATGCCGCACTCGAGTTATACGATATCCTTACTTATATTATATAACTAAGTGTTAAGTTAATTAAAAAATTGCTATTATTTCACATAGTTATATGCCAAAGAATTTTTTAGTTATAACCTACTAACCAGCTAGGTTCGCTTAAATTGAATAAAAAACAATTAACAGCGCAATGTTATGTTAAGATACCACTGTTATTTGCTCTAAGGTATCGATATATAGTAAGCCACTTTCACTTCCGATTGAAAAAAAGGCAATTTTGACATCCATCATTACAATATAAGGGTTTAAACATTTCACGTTAAGTATGTTAATTTTTTTGTTATCTTCAAAAACAAATAAAAAATCTGAGGTCCATGCACCTTATAAAAAGTATGCACATTAAAAAAAAACCACATATCCTGCGACGGGTTATCCCTCTCCCAAAAAATTGTATACATGTGTATACAATTTACAACAGTGTACCGCGTGACCGTTTGCTTCGGTCATACCTGTTTTCATGACGTTTGATAACTAGACAGGGATAAATAAGAATGCACACAAATGATAAAACTGACAATGGTTTTTAGACGATAGAAGAAAATTATGAAATATAAAATTAGGATTGAGTTTATTATAAATAGATAACCTTTAAACTGCAATAAAACATTTCATATTTCAAATACGACAGACAGAAATCGTTTCAAAACTCATTAGTTATTACCTAGTCCATACAACAATGCATAACAAAGATAGGTATATACTATATTTTATTCTCCGTGTAAAGTTACCCATATGTAGTATGTACCTACCTCTATTATTTATAAATAGTTAATAATGTTCCAATATGTGTGTGTGCGTCTAAATTTCCAGTAAACACGCCTAAGTATGATATCGATTAATAAAAATAGTACATGGTATATACCCAAAGAGACCCAACTTGCTCAATTCGGATCGATTTAAGTTGAATCTTTCGATTACCGTTACTTTCAATAGATAACATACTGTGGCGAACAATAATTAGGTAGGTACTACGGCATTGAAAAACCTAAGAAAAAATTGTCATTATACAGTTCAAATTCACTGGAGATGCACTACAACGGGGGCAATTTTTCATGCTTAATCAGCATCGGCTGTTACCCTTGACTGAGTAAATCAGGATGTCTGAAGTCGGCTCTAACGAAATGTTCCACGCACACTTTTCTTGTTTTGTACAGGAACATTGCGCCTCGTTTCAAATACAACTCGACCAGATCGGATCGACCACATGCGAATAACCATTGACTGCAACTGTAGAACCAACGATAGACCGATTAACGTTATAGTCACACTGTGTATTTATGAATATTTTGTACATTGTATATTTACCGATAGTATTGTTTGGGAAATCTAGAATAGGTTTTTTTGCAAACATTACCATCCGAGTTGCTCTTACAATTTATTAACCATTTCGCATTTGGTTCCGTGCGTTGTTGTTGTGTCTGGACCCACGATATCCCCTAAACCGCTGAACTGATTTCTTCATGTAAGAAGTCCAGTGGCGGCTATCTTGCAAAATAATGGTGTATAAATTTAAATTTCAAAGCCATAAACCACCCACCCACCCTAACACAGAATTCTATGGACTATTAGGTACCTACACTGTGTACAGTACACACTCATAACACAACTATATTATTATTTAATCCTATGATAGTATGACTTTATACAAGTCACTCATCCACCATGACCAGCCACCCAATTTTAAAGGTGTATCGACGGATACAAATTTAGTATGAGAAAGCCGCCACTGAAGAAGTCTTTTGATCAGAAATCATTCCTAAAAGGTACTTTATTCGGCTAAATATTAATGATGGTCATCTATTTCCCTTCAATATATTAAATGTAATAATAATAATAGTTATACAATATTGTTAAAAATATAATGGTAATATTATTTCGGATTGATTTTAGTTTTTTAGCCCCCATAGAAAAAATAGTAAGCTTCACGCAAGAAAAAGAAAAATATAAATCCGTCCATAGATACGCCAGAAAATGACTTTTACGAAAGTAATTTTTGGATCAAACTTTCGCCAATAACTCGGAAAAAAGTGACTTAAAAATTATTTGGCTTATTAAAAATGGCTTTAAGATAAATTGTTATCAAATATTGCCTATCCTTACCCCTTAATAAATAGCGCTTTCTGTAAATCAAATATTATAAGATGCCAAATAAGTAGGCACGGCTGCGTTTATCAGTTTTTGTTATTATTATTATAAATTTTATAAAAATAAACTCAACTATGGTTCGACAAGGCATAATAGACAAAAAAAAATATATATAAAATACAGAAACACATACATTGGACACTGGCCGGGCCGGGCAACCTTTTGCCTGCATCCCCACATACTCATCAAATTTTAATTTAACAGCAATGAAAAAAATCTATAATACCTATGATTATTGTATACTATATAAACAAATGTTTAACTCAAATCAATTTACCAGTTACCTAGCATATAATATAATAGTATCATATGACATCTCTACTATTAACTTAATAAAATATATGAAGTTTGAAGACTTATCATTACAGAAAAAATGTCAAAATGTAAATTTTTTGTTTTTAAAAAATATTTTAAAATTGCATTTTGGGCTTGGTAGGAGATTAATTATTTCAAAAATATTATTTAAAAAATGTAGGTAAAGACTAAAGTATTATGAAATTATTTCAAACGTTTTATTTATATTTTTAATATTATGGTAATTTGTAAAAGCAGGCAGTGTTAAATTTTTAAATTAAATAAAGTTATTTTTCTTTTTTATTCTAATTAATATACCTATGGGAAATTATATTATATTTAAATTTGGATTATTCACAGAAGTAATTTCAGTGGCCAGTGCCAAATGTATAATTTGTTTATCTACAACTATTTACATAGTTTTCAATAGATACTTAACGTTGGCAATAAAAGGACCACCAATAATTATTATTCATAAATAAACCGACTATTAAATTTATCTGCCATCGGTTTGTTATAGCGTACAAACCAATTTATAAAAATACATCTGCTATTATATGATAACGTTTTGGTAACTACTTGATTTTTATTTGTATGGCTAATCTTTTCGACATGTATTCGTGGGTATACCGTATATATGTATTTATTTTTTGTATATAACAAACGCATATCGGATGTTGTGCTATATTTACTGCAATAAAACTATATAGTCCCATCTTTAACGAAAAAAGAGTTGTAGAACACAACTTGTATTATTATTGCTTTCAACTAATAACAACAAAAACATTTTTACAATACTTATTCAAAACTTAAAATGCTCAGCCATTGGCCATTACATAATCTTAAGAATTCACATGGATTCTATTCTATTAAGTTAATTATTTTAAGTAAGGCTTTAAACAATTAAATTATAATTTAATTAAAGTGAAATATTTCATTTCAAAAACATTACTGGTTGTTTTAAAAATATTATTTGAAGAATATTACTTCGTATTCGGGTTTAATTATTATAATTTATGGCTTATAAATATAATTTGATACATCCAAATTTTAGGACGTAGTCATGCCTTAACGTTCTTTCTTATGCGTTGACGATGCATACATTATATTATGTAATACATTTAGACTGTTGAATAAGTAATAACATTTTTAATAATTCTTGTTAATTCCGTTTATTATTCTAATTTCCTATTATGAATACAACAAGGTGTTTATAGTACAGTTTAAATTAAAAAGTACTTCAAGAACTTAAGTCCAGAGATTTGTATTGTGTGTGTTCAAAATCATAGTATTTTACTTAGACTTTAGTGTACCTAAAGTCACGAACTATTTTTTACTGGAGTAGCATTTCTAATAGACATTTTATATGAGTGACTATCGATAATTTATTGCTTTTAAGGTGATGACTGATGAGCTATATTCGCGTAATTTGGTCAAACGGTTCCAGAAATAATGTATGGACACACATAAAAAGAAAAACATATCACTGTAAAATCAATACATTCTCAGCTTTACTTCGAAGATATTATAAAGAAAGGCTAAGATGCCTGTTGCCTGAATGGACAAGTTTTTGACATCTGTACAACGTTTCAATTTATTGATGTGGAATTTTGTGAGCTATCACTTACGAAATGTTGTATTAGAAAAAAAAACATTACCGGATCATTAACATTCTAATTCTAGATGCATGTTCTAATTTAAAGATGATTTTTATATCAATTAAAAAGTTTTATGGTTTTTATGTTAAGTGTGTATTTTTGTTGTTACATAATTTTAATGGTAAAGGCGGGAAGTGTGTTTTTTTTTATTGGGATAATTTTCATTTGACCATATTCAATTTTTCTCTGCATTTTATCATTTAAACGTTATCACGACGTTTTGGAATCGTCTAAGTACATCAATATTCAATCCAAATTACCGAGGGATAAATCAATACAATGAGGAACAATAGATTGAAAAACTGTAAATGGCGATTTGTTGCCGTCAGAACACACATATAATTCACAAAATATTTGTCATTTAACGAAAACTAAATCATTAACAACAGTCATAGTCTTATATTATACAGAAAAATACTCAAAATAAAATTTTACTGTGAAAATTGTTAGATTTTTTCTGAATACATTTAAAGCTGATGTATATTTTGCTTAAACCATCATGACCGCCCCAGTGAGGTTAGGGTAGCCTTCTAGAATATACGAATATTTAGATATTTCATTATGTTTTAATATGATTACTCAACCAATATTGTTTAATTTACGTCCATATGTTGCTTAAACTAACGTTTTAACTGTTGAAGCTATAATTTAGGTTCAAGATCAATAAACATAAATGTCATTTCTGGTTTGTTTGCCTCGCGGGAATACTAGAAAACTATCTAATTATTTATTGGTAGACGACTTTATAGTAGAGCAAGTAGTCCTTTCACAAGCGACGATTTCTCGCTCTATGGTTTCGATTCGTGACACGAAAACCTAAATGACGCTCTTAACCCGTGATCTCGCTTTTAAGTTTAGAACTAATGTTACATATACATTCATTTCTTTTTATTGTTCTTATAACATACGTTTTATACTAGAGGCAAAACATAAGCTGTCCGCTAATTGTTACAATTTAACGCGTATTGCTATCCTGTAAATTATTTTGTTTAGTGCGCTTAAAACGAGACAGCACATTAAAAACTGAGCAGTGATTATAATTGTTTAATACATATTTAAACGACGATGTGTTGTTGCCGAGAGAGCGGTGGCTCAGGTCAAAGAGTCCGGTCGATTCATTCGCTGTCGCAAAACCGACGCCGAAGCAACGGAACGACAACGACGTGTGCAAACACACTTTCCGGACGTCAGTGAGGCACTGCCAAGTGCCGAAGTGGACAGTGGAGTGTGCTGTGTGGTCGAACGACCACATCGATTATACAAACGCGAATACGCTGGTGATATTTTCCGATTCGGACAATATCGAAACGTTCGACATAAGTTTGCGTTTGAAGAGAAATACATGTTCATATTAGAAACATAACATTATCGTAGAAAATTGACTTATGAGCGTGAAATAATCCGCACACAAAATAAAAAACGTCCGACGGCACCGTCGGAGCAATGCGATGTTGTGACGACCATCGATAGCGTCGGCATCGATGCGATGGTGGCCGTAAACACTTCGGTGACGATCGTCCGGCGTCGACCCCCACCGCTGGGCCTGTGCCAGAGGTGAACGCACACGGGCGGCAGGCGCCCGTCGGTCCGCTCCTGCCTCAGTCCGCACTCCGCATTCGTCGGTGTTCGTTTACGGTGCGATCTGTTCGCGTCGCTTGTTATCGTCGCAAATGGAATTTTCGCCGTGTATGTTACACTACCAGTATCAGTATTCGGCCATCCTGGACAGCCAAACGATACGAAAACAACGTTTCTAAATGGATGGTAAGTCTGTCGTACACATAAAAAATCTTGGGCACCGATTAGGTAAATTATTTCGAATTTATGATATTTTTTTTTCGCTTGACGCGATCTCGTTTTCACGTGGTCGTGGTCTGCGCGCGAAAATGTCTTTTTGCATAATCGACCGCGATATTTGCCGGAATGTCGTAGGCCCGTCGAACCGCCGTGTGTGGAACCTAGCGTGTTTGTGCGATCTTGATGCATTGCGTCGCAGTTGGCGGCGACGGAGGAGCGCGCGCGCGCTCGCTACCGTTCTTGGTTTGGGGCCCACTGAGCGCGCGCCCGTTGCAAACAACAACGCCGCCGCAGCCGATCCCCCGGACGCCACCACTGCCGTCGCCACTAGGCACCACGGTCCGCCGCCGGCCCACAGCTGAGTAAGCCGAGATCTCCGGCGGATAATGTCATAATCGGGTCTCGGTTGTGTAGTGTGAACTGTTCTTCGTTTTAGTCAGTGTCGTTACGTTCACCGTACCGATCACTGGGTACACATCACGTTAGGTCCACCGCCGCCGCCGCCACTGCGAGTTTCTCTCGAAAAACCGACTCGACAAAATATTTCTCATGTCAAAACTCGCGAGTCGCTACGCTTCCGTTTATGTAACAAAATCATTACTTTTATTATTTTCATTATGGTTATAATATTATAAAATATTATCGATCGTTCGTTTTTGGGTAAATGCACTCATTCCTCCAATGTCACAATTAACCTGCGTGTACTTAACGTTTATTAAAACAAGGACGTTTTTTATTTTTTTTTTACACAAATTCTATTTTTGCTTTTATTTGTGTGCCTATGGTGGTATAGAATTATTTGTTTTTTTTTTGTCAGCACCGTGGCCGTGGTCTTTGGGTATCCGAGTGGTGTCGAAAACGTTTGATATATTGTAAACATGTGTTTTTGTAGTCGAGTAACACACAATGTACCCGAACGGGTTGAAATAACTGGAGGGACAATAATTACGGTCTATTGTTTTCTGGATCGAAACAATCTGGCGCCTCCGACGTGGATAGTACTTGGTAACACAACGTTTTTCGTTGTCCTTGCACAACACGCTAGTATTCGGTCGATGCCGTAGCAAAACGTTAAATGAACAGTGAAAAAGCAACGACTCACACTTCCCTTAGTCCTATCTAAATAGGGTTATATTATTATCAGCTGTTTTTTTTACCGAATTACATCATTAACTGTACTGTTCTACGTGTAGAAGTATTTTTTATAAGATACATTCGACGACTGCGTCCGATACTCATACACTCGCTGACATTCTATCGACTAAAACAAACATATCCATGTTAAAATCGAAAAATCCACAATATTGTTAATTGAAAATATCTGGAAAATTACAGGACAAATTATTACTAGAGTACATATTTTTATTAAGGAGTCATAAAGGCAGACCTCACCTCGGCACTGACTGACCGGTTTGGTGTTATTGATTTTGGACCGTATTGGCTACATATAATATATGGTAACTGGTATGACATGGTGTGTCAAGCTCAGAAATTAAAACTTTTTTTAAAAACTGTTTTTCGAATTGTAGCATTTTTTACAACTAAAATAGATGCCTGTGCGGTCACGGGTTCTTCTTATTGTAGTCTGTGGTATTATAATCTACTGGATGTTTCGCCAAATGTGGGCCGTTGGAATTAACGTGCCAGTTTGTATGTAAAACGGTTCACGCCCGGTTCAATCGCTTTGTACAACAGCTTGTGGTATTGTTATCGTTATTTCCTCGCCTTGAATATTACACAAAAAAAAAAAGAATGGGTTCGTGTCAAGGCGATTTAGTTGAAATTTCAGTAACGTTTAGGTACCGTTTTAAAGCAGATAATTATATATATATAAATAGGTAGAGGCCAAAACGAACGTGGAACTCGGGTGAAAAATTGTTGATACCTTTTATATGCAAACATAACCTTTTGAAAATAATTGGAAAATGTTCCGTTAAAAGAAGCAACTTTTTGAATTTATAACTACTAGTGAAATAGGGCCTACGAAATGTATACAATTTTTTTTTAATTTCTTCATTATAACGTTGTTCTACTTATTTTTGAAAACAAATTATCAAGTTAATATTAATATATATATTTCATTAATGTTTTAATTTTTTTATGTGTATTTTCATATAATTACCTTATCTATTTTCTTACGGACACAAACATTTTTAGTAATTTGCAATAACTTATACCTGGCGATTGTTTTACTATGATTATAATATAATTATATAATTATTATTTTACTTAGACAACATTTTATAGTTTTTTTTATAATTAAAAAAAACCCGGCATTTTAGTCCCCATAGAGATGGTGTTCAACTTGATAAGGAAAACAATTTGAAATGAGCACGGTAGTTTTCTTTTGTGTTTTAGTATTTATTTGTATACAATTAGGTTGTTTCCGTTCCCCTTAAGACTCACTTTTAATTATACAGTCTCTCTTTAGAAGTCGCCTCTGCATAACATTACCTGTGTCCGTTTGCTATGTTAGTTTCCTAATATTAATTTAGCGCACTACCAAAATTACAATAATAAGTATTAAATAATAATCATATGGTTACGCTAAATGGCGCCATAATCGTGTTTCCATGAGATCTTCATGCAGCTAAATTCTCTGGCAGCCAAACTGAGTATAATGGCGCTTATTTCGCTTTATGTTTTAGTGTTAGTAATATACCTTAATACTATTATTTGCAAGTTTCCAATTGTCAATTCGAATATCTAAAAAATAGTATTGTGTTTACAACGCAGCGACCGGAATGACTCACAACAACAAACAACAAACGAATATTTGAGAGGTACATTGCTGGCGACTTAGATAATTAAATAAAAAATATATCATACAACCGATATTATATGTTTTTTTTATTGTGGCGTACGAGTTGCCATTCTAAGATGCTAGACCTTGTGACGGACATTGAACGATATAATATTAAGTATACTGCCGACATTGAATCACATCTCGAACAGCGCACGACATAATTTTTGCCGTATCTTATAAAGCGTCTTTATTGTCGTTTTACAATTTGCCCGTTAAACACTATAATTTTATTAAACTTTTTATAGGATTTATATTTTTTCTTTGTATTCAGAAATATATTTCACTTGATCAAACAACTAGAAGGCAATATGGGGTTTGTATGGATTTGTATTAATTCAATAATTTCCGTTATTCTAATAATACTCTATAATGTTCGTTAAAATAATTTAAAACCCGCAGGTATATTTAATTTCGGTAACATCCAATTAACGTTCCGTTTTGACATTGTCGAGATCGTGCGTAGACTGTTTAGAAGGTATGGATCTAGTAGATTAGTAGGATTTAATACCCGAGTATGGTGAGAGAAAAGACAGCCACCGTGTCGTTGCTAAGTACCTAATCACTTTCTAAAATCAATATTGCAATAAAAGATAAATAAAACTATTTATTGGATTTAGAACCGCAGGATATCGGAAAGTTAAATTATATCGAAGGTCTACAGTAATTGAGGGTCAATGGAGTAACAATATTTTAAAATAATTTCATAATAAGTGTAAAATTATTTTCACATATTTGGTTTTATATACTTTTTATCCTAGCTTTGGAATTATATCAATTAAATCTATCATTATTAGAGGTACAAATTATTTTACTCAAATGTCTTAGATTTTCAACATTTGATTAAACGAATATTTCCGATATATTATTCTTGTTTTAATAAGCAAATCAAATAATGCATACAATTTACTTCAACTAGCAACCTGTAAAATAATATTATTATGCTGCGTTTAGAAAATAATAAATATTTTAGAAAACAATTTAAGAGGGTATAGAATTTAGAGCAATTATTTATATTATCGAGTTAAGTTCGTTGCATAATAGTTATTAATTAACAAGTTTCAATTTACTTTTATTGCAAAAACCCACATTCGATTTTACATTAAATCGCTACAGTTATAATTTGTATTAATTGTTGTAGTCAAGGCGACCTCAAATGTTCTAAAGATCAAAAAATCAACAGTGAATTTAAAAAAAAAATGTCCTCTAGTTATCCTCAAGTGGATTTGGAACCAAAAATACAGGTTAAATAAACGTGTTAGTACATTAAAAGGTGTTCTTAATTAGCAATTAACTGTGCGAAATTTACATACTAAAAAACAATTTTTTTTTAAACTCGGTAAATGGCTATTAATATTTTATTTATATATATTGTTATTTTAAAAGATATTACAACTTACCATACTAAAAATTACGAACATTTGGTAATCTTTTAGAGAAAGCAAAAATTCGGGTTCTTAAGTGTTTTTTTTTTGGGGGGGGGGAGGGCTATGTCTAAATTAAATCTATATTTTTGGATAAATACCAACGATTTTGACTGTAGTATGGCCGTTGGTTTCGGTCATCTGACTTTAAAATTTTGAATGACACGTGTAGTATAATATTATTGATATGACTTATGACCTAATGCCAATTATATTGTATACTATAAAATGTTGTATATAAGTACATATTATTTTTTAACAGTTTAAAAGAAGTGAAAATGCCGACTTGGCCGTCCTAATAAGGAACAGTTGAATCGTGTGGCTTCTATTTAATAAATATAATGCATATACTATTGATACATTACTTTGCTTTTTTGCTAAGTTGGCATAAATAAAAACCCCAAACTCAAAATAACTAGGTGGATTTTTTTTTTGCTTTAGCCCAATAAATGTTAATAATTTACCCAAAGGATTTTTGGGTCTATGTAAAATTATCTGTTTATCAATATAAAGGGGGAAAATGGCATGAAATAACTAAAAATGTTTGTGAATCATAATTTTTTAGCAGATAACAATTTTATCTCTTAAAATATAAAAATAAAATAATATTGTCATGAGCATTTATGTTATAACTGTGTACTGTTTTTTAGTTGTTTGGATCATCAAATGCCCTTTCTGTAGTAAAAGACATATTTAAGTGTGCTTAGTACAAAAGATAAAAACAGTCAGTAGCGCCAATA